TGGTTAAGGCAGTGTACCCGCTTACTTGCACCTATGTTCGATCTCCCTCCCCATGTATTAGAGTAGTTAAGATATATATATATATATATATATATATGTAAAAGATAAGAAAATAAAAAGAAAGCAATACTTTAGGAATATTTGACGGTACCTGAGTGAAGAAGACAAGAAGAGTGAGAAGCTTCATGGTCTTGAACAACATCCTAAGGAGATAAAAGTAACTGAGAGACCATGACAATACTATTTCTTCCCGTTTCAGCTGAGACATCTGAGGAAAGCTCTGAAAGTAGGGAAATTAGCTTGAAGGGCTGGCTCTTCCACACAATATGAATCTCCCTATCCATGTGGACAAAAACCACAACGCCAATCGCATCAACCACAGCTTTGGGTGCTTCAGTCTCTCACTTATCAGTCCCCCTACCTACACATGGATGCATATTTATAGTGAGACATGAAACTCAAATTCAAAAAGTAGATTAATCAACATCTTTAACAACAAAATGTTTATATATAGAGAGAGCTTCTATTTCGGGATCTCTCAAATAAGCTTATTTGAGGGATACTCTTATAGGGCCCACTCTGCATTGTATTTCACTAATCCAAACCGTCTAGTTTTTAGATAATCATTCAAAGATCATCTCTATAAAAAATCACTTGAATCCGGTATCATTTGACCACTCAATTGAGTTATTGAAATTTTAGTACTTTTTTGAAGCACCGTGTTCATTGATTTTGGAAGACACAATTGGATGTTGAAACGGTTTCTGATTTGTTTAATTTTTTTGTATGGATGATCTATGAATGAAGATCTAACAAATAGATGGTTTGGATCGCTGAAAAAATATTCCTAATGTACCCTAAAGGGTGTCCCTCAAATGAAATTATTTGAGGGATCCCTCAATAGAAAGGTATATATATATATATATATATATATATATATTATACAAGTGACGAGTTGAAATAAAAGAGAGAATCGAATACAGGACCTAGCTCATGTGTGAATTCTAAGATTTTGGGCCAAAATCTAAGGCTTTATATATTGGACCACATGTTTATTAAGTCTTGGGCCTTGATATTTTCAATATAGGTGAGGTTTTGGGCTAAAACCTTGAAGGCTTTACTTATTTAGGGTGCTGAGTGGGGATTTTGATGCAAAATATTAGCTAAAGTGTCTTATTTTATTGGCAAAGTGTTTGGCTAGATGGGTGAAGAAAACATTTAAGTGTGGGCAGCTGCCCACAATAGGAATGTATTGGGTCCGCCAGTGACTAGCGTAGTGGTTTGGAGTATTTACTCATTCAGGTAAGGTCTTGGGTTCAAGTCATAACATCCATGTAGTGTGTATGAGTTTAGTATACTATCGTCCCTCTCAATAGGAAATGTTCTTAAAAAAAAGATCAAAATCAATTTTCCATTTCATTTTATTCATTTTAAAATATAAAAGGGGGCTCTCTGAACTAGTATTCTTTTATTAGATTATCATTCTTCACTAATACTGTGTGGTTTTTAAAGTATATTTCTTTGGTTTAATATTAGAATTTTTTTTTGGTTAAACTGTTACTTTTCGACAACTCCACAATATCATTCATGTACTTGTTAAGGTATCATAATGAGCCAACTATCTGATGGTGTAATTTTTCCAATGGCAAAGCCAAAAAACAGAAAACAAAATGACTGGGGTGCATTTTCAAGGGCATTGGAAATGCCTTTTATTTTTTTTTTTTGGTAACAAAGAGATTACATACAAAAAGAGGACAAATATTTTTTCTTGCAGCTCTCGTAGCAGGTTACAGCATAATACCTCAATTTGTCCAAATCTGCCACATTAAGAGAAGGAAAATTGTGTTAGACATTTGCATTTTTGGCAATGAGGCAATTCACTAGGCCATCCTACATATTCTTACTTTTCTTATATGGTATTGGGAAATTAAAAAAATTTTAATTAAAAAAATCGAAACATAAAAATGTTATATGGAAACTCTGTTGTAGCTGGTACTTTTGAGTTCTACAATAACTGAAGCTTTTGAGCAATTCGTCTTATCTCTCTATTCTTCGAATTGAGGGTGATTCTCAATTACTTATACAAATGATCAAACCTAAAGCCGTATTCGTTGGAAACGAGTTCTATTCTACAAGATATTTGACATCCTCTCTCTTAAGGTTTTTTTTTATAAAAAAAATTAAATTAAATAGAAGCGATAGTATAAGCTACAAGGACAAAATGGTTTCTCACACACACTACCAAAGTGCAAAGAAACGCAATTTACTAAGGGGAACTTTAAACCAAGACAACTTAACTAATAAGAGATGAATACTAACAATCCAAATCGGCCATTATATTGTAACTGGTTCGGCCTTAGTTTTGAGGTGAAACCGATCCAATTCGGACCGTGTCCACTCCTAGGTGGTGGTAGGGTTTAGTTAGGCTCTTAGGTTGCTTCAGGGTTTGACCTATGTTGGGTAGGAATTTGTTTGAGATTAGGCTTAATTGTGGTGATGTGAGCTAGTAGTTAATTTGTTTTTAGCATGTTAATCTGTTGACCTCTTAGGATTGGTGTTTTAGATGCCATGTTGATTATTTTGATTGTATTGTTAAAATTATCTAATGAAGTTTCTCTTTGATAAAAAAGAAATTAAGCAACAACAAAAAATACATTAAATGAACTCAAATTTAAATTTAATTCCAAATATTTATTTCGTTCCTTTACTTCGTTGTTCTTCTTTGATTTAGTTCCTCTTATTGCAATTAAAATACATTAGATGACCTACGTTAGATTTAAGATCAAGGATCATTTTTTTGTATTGTTGAGCTTAATAATAGTTTCCTAACACGTATTTTGAGAGAGAGAGAGAGAGAGAGAGAGAGAGAGAGAGAGAGAGGAGTACCATTCTCAATTTTGGCACTCCTAAATTTGGCACAACCAGCAGTACACATAGAAATGGTATCAAGATTTAATCTGTGAAGAAGGTGATCAAGATTCCTGAAGTGACGATAGCATTGGATAGGCAAACATACAGTAAGACCACCCAGGTACGTTGGGCGGGGATATGCTTTAAGACACACCAACCTATTTTCCTGGGGAACATGTAATGATGATGTAGTGGAAATCTCGGGAATAATCTCACATCATCTTGTGGAACTGTGGAAGACAGGAGATCATCTAGTATTGGTTGTGGGGAGGGAGATGGTGATGGAGAATGAGAATGATCATCTTCATCTAGGAGAGAATCATCAGCTGCAACCATAACTACTCTAAGCAAAAACACAATCATTAAGCTCATTATACTTTCCTCCTCCAATGTTCATTCATTGGCCCCAATTAAGATCTCATAAGTTTTCCTCTCAATAAATTGAAAATAATAAACCCACTATTTATAGGATTTAAACTATCACGAGTCCTAGGTTTTTTATTTATTTACTTATTTATTTAACACTCCTCTGGTTCAAATAAATAGGGATTTTTTTATTTAAGCAAAATAACTACGACTTTTGAGTATAATGTAAAGAAAGTAAAGTCTAGTAAATACTATATATTGTCTTTTAGCCAAAGTGATGAGGTTTTTTTCATCTCCTAAGATGAGCCATGAGCTTTTTCGCAGAACCTGACTTCGACCTCCATAATTTCCGTATGAGCTCGTTGTATATAACTTGCTTTTAAGAGCAATAAAACAAAGGGGAATGTTAAAGAAAGAGGAGGAAAATGAAACCAGCCCATAGAATGTTAAATTTCTTTCAATGTTAGACTTCACTTGAAAGAAACCTATTGTTTTATAAAGATCATTTGAACAAACATGCAATACACATAAATATGGCGGCAGAGAGGAAGAAATAGGGGGTTGGGGCGAATCTGTGCGGGTGGGTCGGAGAAGGGTGGCTGGGGGAGAGAGAGGGAGAAAGAGGGGGTTTCTTGGGTTGGGTGAAATTTTTTTTTTGTTCGTTTTAAAACTATTAATTTTATAATAATTTTTAAGAATTCTTCATTGCTTTTTTTTCTTATTTTTTCACACATGAACATAAAAGTGAGTATCCCATTTGCCACGTCACCAATTTAACATAAAGTTAAATGGTACAATTGTCGTTGAGCGTAATTTAGTCAGATTTAAAAATATTAGGTTTGATATTGATGAAACTGAAACCTCATGACCCATTTCGTTAATGACGCCAAACATGTAGGGGGTAAAATGTTGTTAATCCTAATATATTATTATGCTAATTAATTGCATCGAAGAATGCTAATGGAGATAGAGAATTAGAAATCACAAATGAAAATTACGTTTGGGATGAAACATCTTGGTGAAGCGAAAAAGATACTTGGTGTGGAAATTACTCCTAAACTAGAGAAATGCTTGTACCTGAGGCAGTAACAATATTTGAGTAATTTGCTGCAACTCTTTGGTGTTAATGATGCCACCATATATGTAATTACTTCGTTGGCTCTTCATTTCAAGTTAAGGGCTAATTTGACATTATTGTGCTATGAAAATAATCACAGTCAAATTTTCTGTGAGAAAAATCAACTGGTACAATAATAAGTTTCTTGTTTGATAAAAGAAAAGCATTTTCACATATATAATTCTTGAGTTAAATATATTTGTTTATCATCACATCCTAAAAATTATTTTAATCATAAAATAAATAAAGTATTATGTTGAAAATTAAATATTTGTCTTGAAATACTCCAAACTAAAGTTTGCAGTTAAACCCAATATATTACAATAATAATCTATATATATATATATATAAAGCAAAAGGCAGAGAATGGTTAAGCATTCAAAATACCATAAAATGCTCTTGGTTAATACAAACATTAATAATTAAAATTATTAATTAAATGAGGATAATACAGTAAATTCACACTTTTTTGTAAAGCTTCTGGTCAGATTGTCAACTTTGAAAAGTCTGCTATATACTGCTCCCCTAATATTAGCAAAGAGTTAGCTGCGAATATTAGTTGTATCTGTGTTCACCTCTCACTACGAACCTAGGCAAATACTTAGGGATGCCTCTATTACACTCTAGGGTGACTAAGGTTACTTATAGCAATCTTGTGGATAAAGTGCATGCTAGGCTGGCTTCTTGGAAAAGTAAGATTCTCTCTGCTGTTGGAAGGGCAACTCTTATTCAAGCTATCACTTCAGCTATACCAGTGTATGCTATGCAAACTTCTAAACTTCTTATGAGCATTCGTGAGGATTTGGATAAAGTGAATTGCAATTTCTTTTGGGGAGGCAGTGAGAAGAAGCATAAGATTCACTTGTGTCAGTGAGATCTTGTGTGCAAACCTAAAAGTAAGGGCGGTTTGGGCTTGAAGAAAACTCATGATATGAATCAAGCTCTCCTAACTAAGGTTGGCTGGAGATTATTGAGGAAGGATGAAGGGTTGTGGGCCCAAATTTTTGAAAATAAATATATTAAGAGCCAATCCTTTTGCGAGCCTAATATAGTCCCAAAACAAAATTGTTCTCCTACCTAGAAGGGGATTATGTTTGGTGCTCAGCTGCTTGACAAAGGGTTAATTTGGAGGCTCGGGAAAGGCGATAAGGTTAAGTTTTGGAGAGATAAATGGATCAGTGATGTGCCTCTTATGCAGATAGTAGATCTTGCTCCTGATCTCAATTTGAATTCTCTTGTTTCTGATTTTTTTGTGAATGATTGGTGGGATGTTGAGAAATTGAGGAGTGTTCTTCCTGAGGAATGGGTCCAAAAAGTTACTGGTTGTTCAGCTGATTTTCAGGGCTTATTGGAGGATTGTCATATCTGGAAACCTACTTCTAATGGGTTATTCTCTGTCAAGTCCGCTTACAGCTTGCTTTTTCAAGGGGTAGATTGGCTAAATCCTTGGTGGAGAGTTCAATGGAAGCTTTGAATCCCTTCTAAACTCCAAATTTTCTTTTGGTTGGTTTTTCAGGAGAAAATTCTCTCCAATGAACAGCGAGTTCAAAAACATCTTACTGGGAATTGTGCTTGCGATTACTGTAAGTGGCCTATTGAATCTACTTTGCATAACTTAAGAGATTGTTCTAGAGTTAGAAAGGTATGGGATCTCTTTATAAATTCTACGCAAGCTTTGCCTTTTTTCCAAACTGATTTTCATCCTTGGTTGTTAAGCAATTTGTGTTCAAAGGCTCACTTTGCTCAGATTCCATGGAGAATTATGTTTGTTTTTATATGCTGGTATATTTGGAAATGGAGAAATGACTTTATTTTTAAAGATGAAACTGATTTGCCTTTTAACCCCAGAGATTTGATTTTTCTGCTGCAAAGGATTGGTTTTAGACCATTATTGGTACTAATAGTGGAGCTAATAAGGTGCAAGTGTTGTTGGCTTGGGTCCCTCCTGAAGTTGGTGTTGTCAAGTTAAATATAGATGGGTCTCGCAGGGGTGTTACTGGTGCCATTGGTGCTAGAAAGGTCCTAAAAGATCATTTGGGTCAATGGATTGGTGGTTTTGTTGTCAATTTAGGCCGGGGAGAAGTGATTGAAGCTGAGTTGTGGGGTATGTTTTTTGGGTTGAATTTGGCTGTTAAGAAAAAAGTAGATGATATTGTTATTGAGATGGATTTTGATACTGCTGTGCTTCTTATTCAGAGAAAGGTTTCAAATGCTTGTCATCCTAATGCTGGGTTGGTCAGCAGCTGTAAAAGGCTTATGAATCTGTTTCGAAGGATCAAGCTTCAACATATATATAGAGAGAGAGGAATGATGCAGCTAATGGGTTAGCTACTTGGAGTCACAATCTGGACCTGGGCTGTTACTATTTTGAGGAGAGTCCTGCCTGGCTTGGTTGTTTATTGCTTAATGATTCTTTGAGAGCTGTTCGTCTGATTAGTAGTAGTTAGTTGTTGTGTTGGTGTTTGAGGGTTTTCCCCCCTTTTCTTCATAATTTTTTTTTAATTAAAATTAAAAGAAAAATTATATAATAGATCTTATTTTTAGGGAACACAACTACCCATAATCTTTTTTAATTCTAAAATAAATTTAAAATTTAAAATAAAATATAAAAAAATATAAAAAAACCCTCTCGTAGTATAGCGCGTGCGAAAAAGCTAATAAGTATAATGTCAATAATATAGCCGCAACGTATCTGTTTTTGTTCTAGTATAATGAGATATTATGTATGCTTTACGCTTATGCAGTGTTTAGTAATGGACTCAGATTCAAGAGTGCGGTTTTTGTAGCATTTAGAGCAGTAATTTTTTAAATGAACTCGAAACTTTGGTGGTTTAGTAAGTGGCCGCCACCTTGATAGATAATGCGTATATGGCCTAGGAAGAAATATTTTATTATCAAGATCAGATTCTGGATAGAGGAGCTTTATCTGCACATATATATATAATACACGCTTAGAGACACTGTCATCGAAAACAAAAATATTGCTGCACTAGTCTTATAAAATAACAATAAAACCCATGCTTGCATTCAGAAAAACCCTTGTGTATCAGTTAAAAGATAGATAGACAAAAAAAAACATATACAATCGATTGCACTCATGTGTCTCGGGTACATTTGTCTTTTAGTGACTCAGAGAGATCGAGCGGCTGAAAATTTGTCAATATGACATATCAAGTGAGGAGAGAGATGAACATAAAAAGGTATATAGTTGCACCCATGTCTCTCTCGTGCGCATTTGTTTCTGAGTGACTTAGAGAGATAGAGGGGCTGAAAGTTTGTCAAATGTCTCTCTCGTGCGCATTTCTTAGTTAGTGTAATTAGCTGTTTCTTATGTCCTTTGTTATATAAGGCAGCTTTGAAATAATGCTTTAACTATACAGCGGATGTTACCTTGGGAGCACATAGGAACTTCTGACATAAATTTGAACCCCAAAAACATAAGGGACGCATTTTCAAATAAAGGCAAAAGTTGGTGGACTATCGAGCTATTTTTCAATTAAGTCAAGGGTTATAAAGTACGTGGAGAAATACATAAAAAGCAATATTATGTTTTTTCCTGCTCTCATTCTATCTATGTCAGCTCATGATTATAATTAGTATAGACTTATTATTATTCATACACCAACTTTCCTTTTTTATTTAAGGGAGGGGAGAGCGAGATTCAGACTCTTGTACGGTTTATATGACATTTAAATTGTATCTTAAAAAAAACTAATAACATAATGTGTATTAAGTGTTCACAAATTTAAACGGGTAAAGGAAAATCATCAATATTTGGAATAACATATAACTTGATTGACTTATTGAGCGCCAATAGAAAAAGAAAGTGATCACAATAATTTTCTCAAAGCAATAAAATATTACCATATGGCATGCAAGTACTTTCTTCACAAGAAAAACCCTAACTCATCGATTCTACAAGAACCCACACGGAGACATCTTAGTACTGGCATTACAAGCCATCAGTTGGAGGATAAAATTATTCTTCTCTATGTCTAATTGATATATATATATATATATCTCCTTCAAGGTACATGCAGATCATAGTAGTGCACCAGGTGGATCTTGATGGCCAACGCCAGGACTATGACCAGGACTAGTTGGCCGGAAGGCATCAGCGCCTGACGACGACTCAGTCATCTTGTAGCGGTTTATAGTAAACCGCCCAATGGAAGGAGGTATTGGCTTGTTCAAGGATCCTATATGTACGGCTGGAGGATGTGTATGCAGTAGTGGCCTTGACGCTGCTACCAAATCAAAGTTTTGGCCTAGAAGGAGGGCAACCATAAAAAAGGATGCCATGAAGGTTGTGGGTGTCATTTATATGAAGGGATATCAAAAGGATGGCCAAACAAAACTATAGTTGAGAAGAAACCAAATAGAGAAGAACTCAAGATTCTTGAAGTAACCACAATTAGCAGTGATGCTTGTGACTAGCTAGATGAGCCTACGGCGGCTATTTAACAAGTTTGTAACGGTCGCATGTGAAGCTTTCTTAACCTTCAAGTTGAGCATAAAATAAGGAGTAGCTTCACATGATGATGTTTGTGAGATATTATTGTAATAATGAAGATCAAAAAGAAAGTAAGCACACTAATAATTTTCATACCAAAAACGGTATAGGAATAATTTCCAAAATCGGCAAGCATAGCATTTCTTGACCCAGATCATTTCTGTTGAAGTTAAACAACTTTCTCACGGCCATTCATAGCAATGTCGTATATATAAAATATTTTAAAGGGGAGACCATGGTTTTTGATTAAACACCACCAACACTTTGCTTTAACATTAACTAATAGTCTCTATCATTTCTGGGTTTTTTTTTGGTTAGTTTAGTATAATGTACTCATGAAGGTCGCAACAATTAAGAAAAACAACCAAATCTTTATAAAGGAAATGCTTCTTCCACTGAGTTCATTGGGCATTGTTCATTTCATGAAAAGCAAGTTATTAAGCTTTTCCTTCACAACTTGAGTGCTGTAAGTTTAGGTGTTCTTTGCGGCCGCGGTTACTACTTTCTATCAACACTTTGTTAGAAGAGGGAAGACGTCTTTTTAAAGCTTAGTGTCAATTAAGATATTATAAAATAGTACCGTAGTACAGTCACGTAATATGATTTGTCCGTATATTATATATAAGTAGATAGTTTCCATAAAAGAAGGAAATATCAAACTATGTCGTCCACCCATATTATAACATGTGTACATACTATACCACATAACTGTATCACCGTATTATTCTATAATATATCTCCAATTAGAGGTTCACGGATTTAGATCATACTAGGTGTGTGTATATATTTTTATTTATATATTTTTTGGTCGAATATATATTCTAGGTTTTGTGTCCATCCCTGTGCACGCACGTGTCCACCACCCTTGTGTTTTCTGTATACAGAGAGGTGTGGCTTATTAGACACAGAGGTAGGCTTGATGTCATGACACACCAATGCCGCTAAGTTGGACTTGGAAGTTAATTATAGTGGGTCTAAAATATTTTTTAGTATCTCTCCCTGCGAGAAGTATTTACAATGCCATGAACATGGCCCAGCACTTTAGTTGAAAATATCCTGAAATTTTTACAATAATGGTAAAGGATATTTCTGAATGACATGTGTTAATGTTGCTAGTGATGTGTCAATTACTAATTGATCATATAATGTAACAATCGTCAGCACATAATGTAGTTCGTTCCGCATGGAAATGGTGTAAGTCATTCTTGTTAGGTCAAGCTGGGAGAAAATGAGAAGAGTGTGTGAAACAAAAGCTTTATAAAGAAAAAAAGGGACATACTTCAAAATTGATTTTAGTTTTTAGTATTTCAATTTGTTCACCATTCTACGAACATTTCATCACAAAACCTCTCACCACAATTCCTCCATATTGCTTCATCCCTCCTTCTCCCACGTATTTCTCGTGCATTTTTAACCAAAAAAATGAAAATAGACCATTGCGGGAGGCAATTAGTTTTAAATTTTTAGCTTTCATTGGTGTACTATTTCATATACATTTTTTTCCACTTCCCTTTCGTCACCATTTCTTCATCCCTCTTTTCTCCAATGTACTTCTTCTTTATTTTTAATATTTTTTAATTGAAAAAAAAAACTATAATTTATACGAAATGATTACAAAACAAACCCTAATCTTTCAAGTTCCTTGTAATGTAAAAATAAAAAATAAAAAACAGAAACCAACTTAATATTCACGTGATCATAATAAAGGCACCCTTAGCTAAGTGGTGGTACGTATACGTGACCTAGACGGATACCTATTGAAATTTGACTACTATGCATGTCCTCTCTCGGCCACTTGCACATTAAGGAAATGAAAGTCATGCTCCACTACTAACCATTATAAGAAAAATCATTAGCACTCGATCATCTTCTGTCGGCCTCATATTCAATGACATCAAAGAGATATATATATATATATATATATATAGGGAGTTTCACTAAAACACCCAAAATGGAGGCTGAAATTATAAAAAAACCTAACACCCAAAACACTTTATAAACACACCCAAAACCCATCATTACACACACTCAAAACCCATTTATAAACACACCCAAAAAATATACAATTGTTGATTTTGAGGTTGATTTTGGGTGTGTTTCTATGTTTAAATAGTGCTTGGGTTTTTTTATAAATACATGTATAGGATTGAGTTTATTTATAAATTTGTAATATATATATATTTATACAGACGTTCAGACATTATTACCATGTAGATGTCATTGTAAACATGGAGAAAAGCAGAGAGAGATAATAAAAAATATATGACGTCCGTACGATAATAACGTCTAGATGTCCAAATAAGAGAATTTCAATATATACACACACACATAGAGAGAGAGAGAGAGAGAGAGAGAGGAGAGAGAGAGAGAGAGAGAGAGAGTGGAAAACTTCATGCATGCTAAGCTTTCTGCCCTTCCCTTACTTTTATGCGCTTTTGTTTTTCTTTTCTTTCTGATCATGAAATGCGTACCTTTCTCGCCCATAGCACATTTAAAACTTGCAGTTGAGCAAAAAAAGAACATTAAAGAATGCATCCAATTAGAATACACTTAATTCACTATCAATTGGATTCCCTTTGTTAAAATGACACCTTATTATTAACCCTAATTAATATATGTACGGTGATAGCCTAGGCCAGCCCACAAGGTTGGGGAGATATATATATATATCTCCCTTTTCTCTGTCTTTGCTTGATCATTCAGCACCATGTGATGTATCAAGAATAATATTATTGAAGCATGTCCAGGCTAGACATGTGGAATATTTCAACAGTAGGCCTAGCCTTTGGGATCTTTTCTTTTTCCTTAAAAACTGTTAACTATGCGAAACTAGCTCCACTAGCATCGGTAGGCCATGGTGAACTATACTAGGTCACCAAATCTGTGATACTTAGATTAGATAGCTCCCATGAACTGCACTTTACAACAGAGCATAAGATTCTGTAGGGAGTACAGAAAAAGGAGGGTTTTTATAATCATCCTCGTATATATTACAGATTTGGTCATTGCAACCACTATTAGGTTGGACACGTACGTCTATATGTATCATCTTCTGCAATATTGTCTTTGTCAAACAAAGACTCGCCAACAATCTTCACGTACGGTACTCAAATGGTTTGAAAATTGTTCGAGCCAGTGTTTTCCCTCACAGTGAAGAATGGAACATGGAATTTAATCCACAAAACGATGTCTTAGACCATCTCTAATGGAGATAGACTCAAACCCAAATTTTCCCCTCCAAAAACAATTGTTCATGTACACAACAATCTCACCTAACTTTTCCCCTAACCCTGCAAGATGCATTCAAATTTGAGTCCGTAGTTTTTTTTTTTTTTTTTTTTTTTTTTTTTTTGTTTTTGAAGTTCTATTAAAAAGGAAAGTTTAAGCAGACATGGGCTTAGCCAAGTTTGTTAGAGCGGATGTACTCCCCACTCTGCCAAGTTGATTATAGCAGATGTGCTTCCCACTCTACACCCGAGTTCGAATTCCCTCCCTGTAATTTAGATTAGATTACAAAAAAAGATCAAAAAAGAAAAAAACATAATAAGGAAAGTTCACTATAAGGCAGTTATACATAAAAGCCTTCTGATAAGTTCAAACAATTCAGATTGAAGTGACTTAGACACCCGGGCAGATACATAGCTGGACAAATGGGGTCAGGCGACCCTATGGTTGCCCCAAAAAAAAGGCAGTGAAGTCCTCAAGCGACCCTATGGGCAGTAGATGGGCGACCCTAAGATGCACACAAGGTGCTTGACGAAAGGCTAGCGCAGCACAACTTCTTCTTTTTAACGCCTGGACAAAACGACTTCATTTTGAGCTAGGTTATTTCAAAATTTTATATAAAAAATAAAAAATAAAAAGAGAGAGAGAGAGAGAGAAAGCAGAAACCCTCTCTCCCCCACCCCCAACCCCCCCCCCCCCCCCCCCCCCCCCAAAAAACACTTCCCAATTTCAAGTGAAACCAATTCGTGTTTAACCATGATTGGGTATTATTTGCGAGAGGTGCCCAATATTGTGTATGTACTTTGCTTTCGTTCTAGTACTTGCTATCAGTTACATGCCAAATTACAAAGTTATACCTGACACTGACATTGTAAAGGTGATTGAAGTTGCATTTTTAAGCTGTTGGACAAAATAGCATATTTAAGGAACCCTTATCGCAATCAGTTTCTATTAGCACAATCTTTGAGAGTAAGATAAAAGAGGTCCCCTGCACTTGAGGTCCAGTTTTTCGAATTCACACTCCCCCAATATATCTTGTTTTTAAAAAAACAGTTAATAACGAATTTCAATTGGAATTCAAAACCAATTGAGGATTTCAAACCCCAACACACACACACATCCCCTAATCTCAAGTGAAGCCAGTATATATTTTTTATGAAATTGATAGATATGTGGAGTGGTTTTTTATGAATTAGAATTTATTGATATTGATATTGTATTTTGATTAGAGGTTATAAATTAATTGATTGATATTTGGATTGGATTACAGTTTATAATTGATTGATATTACTATGGTTTTTTTAATATTGATATTGTTATGTTGATAATGTGTTTGGAAATTATTTATTAGTAGTGGGTTATTGACATTTCATATTCATATGATAATTTGGATAAAAATTATTTATTTATTGAATTAATTGATGTGTAGAAATATGGAACGAACGATACTTTAAGAGAAAATTGTCTACGGCTAGCTTGTATTGTTAGTTTTGCCATAAATTATAAATGGAAGTACTATCGTTATGTTTTTAGTGTTATTTTATTCTTAAAAAAATTTTGAGACTTTTACACTATGACCCTATGAGGTCACAATCTTGTGTCTGCCACTGCCTAGGACAGTAGCCAACAAAAGCCTAAAACAGACATAAAGCCCAAGCAACAACTAAGGCATGATTTTTGTCAAAACCTAGAATAAGATAAAGGGAGGTGTTGCCATCGACATAAGGATCAGATTGTTGTGCGCGAAAGCAGAAGCATCAGATATGAGACCTATATCACGTAGATGCAAAATATCGCAAATACAAATAAATCCAACAAGACACAAGGGATTTATACTGGTTCGGCCTATAGCACGATGCGGAAATTCCACTAGTAACATAAGGAGATTACATATGAGTTAAACCACACTAGGATATTATAGGGTTCAAGTCTCACAATCCACAATCCACATCCCACATACACCCAAATCACTCTCATACAAATGAGCCAAGAAAAAAATCTCCTATTATTAGTCACAAATACAAAGACCAAAAGAGAGAACAATACCAAATTTGAAGCCGCTCAAAAAAAGAGAACAAGAAATTTTCCTTGCAAGAATGCTGCAACAAACAAACTCACAACGAAACATAAGTAACATACAATGTGACACTCATCCAAAACAAAAAGGAGAAGATTTCCTTCACTTAAAAATGATCTGAGTCACACTTCCTTCAGCTTAGATGCTTCTGGCTCCCTTAAATGCTTCCATATGGTGACCTCTACCCAAACAAAGGAGAAAGGTTTTTCCCTCACCAAATGTGGAGGCACACCCATCAAATGAAAATAAAATGGCTTATATAGGTGGGGACCAATGGCTAACTTTAAAACCTTAAGCCACCAAGCAAGTGGGCCAAGTGGGCTTTCTCAAACCCATACAAATGGGCTTTTAATTTAAGCCAACAAAATCCAACATGGATAACAATCATGGACAACATCATTATAGCTACGAAATTCTATAGTGAGGATGCCATATAGCTAAAGGAAGTATCTGCCCCCACGAAGGAAAGCAAAACATAATGGAAGAAAGAAAAACCCCAAAAATCTGCCAAAATAACCAACAAACTCTTAGAACATATAGAAGCACAAAGGCAACAAACCAACCACATATAATTCATCCGAGATTTACCAGCTTCACCAAGGGCGGACCTACATGGAGGGCAGGCCGGACAACTGCCCGACCCATTTTGTGAATTCTCTCTCTCTCTCTCTCTCTCTCTCTCTCTCTCTCTCTCTCTCTCTCTCTCTCTCTCTCTCTCTCTCTCGTGTGGAGGGCAGGCTATTCGGAACTAATTTTGTTAAACAGAGGCGAGGCATTGCCCTTCTTTTTGGACCCAAGGCCGGCCTCGCGTCAACCGATCCGAGGGGAAGACATTGTCAGGTGGAGAGTTTGGTTGGGGAAGCACATCTCTTAAAAGATAGCGCACGTATGTATTTTTACGTAGTAGTATCTTTGGTTTGTGTCACGCCCCGGACCCGGGGGTGGGTGGAAACCCCGCGTCCGGTGCGTGAGAAAATAAAAATAAAAATAAAATAAAATTCTCTTATAAAAATAGCTCCAAAATCTTACAACTTTACAAGATATAAATAAAGCTCTACTACTCTCATCTAATTCAGCCTCAATCGATTTAGTCCTCGTCTTGCCCACTAATTCATCTGAAAAATTAAACAGAGTGAGGGATGAGCAACCACCGCTCAGTGAGTAGATTATGTAATATGCCAGTCAAGCAATGCCGTTTTACCCACTCTAGAAAATATCATGAAAAGATACACCAATCCAGATCATATCACATCATCCCTTCATATCTCGGTTATCCTTCATAGCATGTAACCAACCACGTGACCCCTACTGGCCTTACTGCCCTATGTCCCCGTGTGGTACATCTATCCCTCGGATACCCCAACATTGAAGTTCTCATGTTCCATGAATAATACATACTTCACAAATATTCCAGTCAAAATATATATAGTGTGAAAAATTGCACCAAATTAGACATGCTTGACTTGAAATAGAGAGATATTTGTAAATAGAACAAATCCACGATAATTCATGGTTTTCATATTTTATCACAAAATAAGAACTTTTAGAACACATTACATAAACCACTCACCTCGATAATGAGAGCCCTTAAAATAAATTGGCAAGACAACCCATTTACCTATCTTCATGTACTATCACTTAAACCAAGCTCCAAGAGTTTCACCACCACTCTTTCTTCTTCTTCTTCTTCTTCTTCTTCTTCTTCTCTCTCTCTCTCTCCTCTCTCTCTCTCTCTCTTTCTCTCTCTTTGCTATGCACATAATGTCCTATATATAAGGAAATAAGTCGGCAGTAAAACACTTCCTATTGGATAATGTAATGGCGGTTGATTATACTTCCTAACCAAGTAATATATATAGCAGATAAGGAAGAATGTCTTTGTGATTCTTCCAACTCCTCCAATCATATCCTTTTCTCTTTGGTGAGTTGGCTAACCTTGCTACTTAACATGGTTTTCACTTTGACACGTACAAGGCCTATGAATTGACAAAGACAACTAACAAGGTCTATTAATACATATCCATATATAATAGAATAAGATATTTATGTAATAAGATATAAATATATAAGTATTATTATAATAATTAGTATAACAATAATATTTTCATATATGTACCAAGATAATTACACATACTAATATATATTTAACTAAGATAATTATATATTAAAAATATAGGGTTTCACAGTTTGCCTCAACATTGCCTTCTCTTGGCAAGGCCTTCACTTGCCTTAGCATTGCATGACCTTCTTTGCATTGCATTGTGTTACCTTACCTCACCTTCGCCTTGTTTGCATCGCATCGCCTTGCCTTGAGATGGCGTAACTTGCCTTTGCATGTGTTGCCTTGGCCTTGCCTTGGCATTGCCCTCCTTTCAAGGCATTCCTAGAATGTGAGGCTATTGCAGGCTTGGGATGACGTGGCTTGCCTTGTCACAGCCTATGCAAGGCTTGTCGCACAGGATGGCTCGACTTGTGTAGATCCCTTTGAAAATGTAGACATAATTTTTCAAACCTTGTCAAACCCAATGTTTATTGAAATTTCCTCGCACAATAAGCTCCCCATAATTAGTCTATGATTTCAAGGCATTCTGAGAAAGTGAGGCTATTGGAGCCTTGCCTTGCCATGGCATCCATGGCTTGGCTTGCCATAGTCAAGGCAAGCGAGGTTATTTGAGCATGCCTTGCCATATTCAAGGCAACCAAGGCTATTTGAGCCTTGTCATGGTTTGGCTTGGCATGGCTAGGCATGTGTTGCCATATTCAAGGCACGTAAGCGAGGCTATGTGAGGCTTGCCAAATGGGGTTGTTTAGGCGTTTTCTTGCATGGGTAAGTATGGAGTTGCTTTAAACACGGAGTTGCTAGGAACTCCTTCTCACAAGCAGAGGCAATGTGAGGCTTGTCATGCACAAGCAAGTCGACATGGCCATGGGAGGCTTGTCGTGCCTTGCCATATTCAAGACTTGCCCAAGATGAAGAGGAGAGGCTTGTCGAATAAGGTGCGCACATCATGCGCAAAGCATGTGCAAAGCCTAAGCACAACCCTTTGAAAATGTCGATAGGATTTTTCAAACCTTGTCCAACCCCATGTTTATTGAAATTTCCTAGCACAATAAACTCCATATAATTAGTCCATGATTTTTAGGACCTTCTCCAACTAATAGAACAAAAAATTCCTCCCATATTTTTTCAATTTTATGACTTTTAAAACTAATAAAAAAATATTTCCCGACTTCAAAAATTTATGAAACTTTTTCCCATCATAGATTGCATTTTTCTTAGTATCCCTACAAAAAAAATCACGTCCAAATACCTTGTATTGATTTATTTAGAGCCCATTATGACTCCTCACACATATGTGATGTCACATCCTATCAAGGGGTAAATGCATAAAATACTAAATATGGGGTGTGTGTTGCCCACATATGCATCCCTTCAGTGGCCCTCTTCCCCCACGATACACCCATGTCATGTTGCCTCGATATTATGGGTTTGGTGTGAGGGTGGGGGGTTGTCGCCCATAGTGGTGGTGACCAGAATTCAGCAGCCACCCGCCACCTTCATGGATGGGGAGGGGAGAATGAGGGGTGGCTTTTTGCAAAATGAGGTTGCGTAGACATTTTATTGCATGGGAGAACATAGAGTTGCTAGGAACTCCTCAAATGCGAGGGCATATCGAAAACAACCTCATTTTGCAACTATCAACCACCCGTGGGGGGTGGCGGTGGGTGGATAGTCGCTGATTATGGTTGCCTAGCCTTTTTTCTTTTTTTTTATTTTTATAAAAAAAAATATGAAATTTTTGCCTAAGTAGTGGGCAAGTCAGACGAGATGAGACATGTTTATCAGGCTCTCTAACTGCATCTGGGCATTCTTCTTTGAGTTGGGCTCCTAATTGAAGTAGGCTTTTGACTTCTTGGAGTTGGGCTTCCAATGGGAATAGGCTTGTGATTCCTCCTTGACCTAGGACGCCCAACCCTTATAAATACAAGGCTTCTCTTCACTCCTCTTCAAATTGCAAACTTGTCATCCTCTACTTTCTAACTTGTGAGAGAGATCTTGAAGGAGTGTACAACTTCTCGTGGTTGTTGCGTGGTTTATGTTAAAGGTGGTTGCTTGGCAGACCGGGAAAATTGTTCGCCGGATTTCTTCGACCGTGTCGCATGGTGTTTTGAGGTGTACCGTAGAAGTTGTATATTATCGATGGATCCCTCCACTTTGGTTGTAATCTTTTAAGTTTGAGATCTCTAGAAGTCTCTCTCTCATCCTCATTAGATATAAGAATTTTCACCTCATTCCGTAATTCACCTTTTAGCTTCTCAACATCTTTCTTGAATTTTTTGATCCAAGCAGCAGTTGCAGCAGCGGGTCCCAAAGACATCATGGTGTACAAAGTAGGGCAAATATTCAATAGCTGCTACTGTTGCTTGGATCAAAGTTCAAAGAAGATCTTGAAAAGCAGAAAAGTGAATTCCGGGAGGAGGTTAAAACTATTCTACTTGAGAAGAATGAGAGAAAGATTTTGGAATTTAATAAAGAAATGGATTGAAAGTGGATTGTCTTGTGAGAATAGCATATGGGAAGAATTCGCAGGAGAAATAAGGCAAAGACAATTATGCAGTGAATGTTCATGATGTCCTCAGTGGTGGTCTCCCCCTTCTCCATTGCTTGACACCCCGGTTTGAAACCCCAAGGGGTTTCTTTCCTCCCAATGTAACCAAAAAAATAATGTTCATGATGTTCTCAAAACATTACATGAAGCCCATTTTCATAGTTCTCCATATAAATCTGTAGGAATTCCTTCTTGTATTTATTTCATTTTTATTTTAAAAAAATAATTGTGTGGAAGTGGTGATTGTGATTGTTGTTTCTCATATCTCATAAGGTACTGGACATGCTTGAAAGAGCATAAGAAAAGGTTTTTGAGGAGGAGAGCAAAGGTGATGCAATGGAGAAGGAGAAAGTGAAGGAATGATGGAGAAGAAATTATTTTCCTGTATTTCACTTGTTTTTTTGCTTAAGGATATATATATAATATAGGTTTCTTTAAGGACATGATATGGAATTTTTTTTTTTTTTTTTTTTTTTTTTTTTAAATTAGATAGATGATTTACGTGGAGCTGTTGCTCCTCAAGAGGACTTGCTCTCGCTTTTAATTAACCCAAAATGGTCAACTGTTGAAGGACCAAAAACAACTTCCAAGATAAAGAAACAAGAGTGTGAAGGAAATGGAAGGTACTGCTGAAGTTCCTCAATTAATGTGATTAGTCTTTGTAAAAAAAAAGGAAAATGTTGGTACTTTGCTTTATTATGCTTGGTTGTTTTTAGCCCGGATCTGTTTGGATCGTGGGTTTATTGTTTGTTTTTGTTGGCAGGTTCTTTATGTTGGCTGTGATGGTAGGGGTTGCGACTACATGATGTCAGGTGGCTAGTGTTGGCCTCTGTCTTGATGGAGAAGACAGCAGCAACGTTGGTTTGTGTTTCTCTTCGGGAAAATTTTGGGTTTAGGTGTGTTTTAGTGTGTTTTGTAATATGTGCAATAACTTCCCATGGTTGTTGCGTGGTTTGAGTGTCTTTCTAGGAGATTTAGGTTGTCCTTAGGTTACATTAAGGGTGGTGGCTTGGCAGACTAGGAAAATTGTTCGCCGGATTTCTTCAACCGAGTCATATGGCGTTTGGAGGTGTACTGTAGAAGCTGGATATTATGGATCCCTCCGCTTTTGTTATAACCCTTTGAGTTTGAGATCTCTGGAAGTCTCTCTCATCCTCATTAGATATATGAATTTTCACCTCATTCGGTAATTCACCTTTCGGTTTCTTAATATATTCATTGAATTTTTTTATCTAAGCAGCAATTATAACATCTGTTCCTAAAGACATCAGGAAGTCTCTCTCATCCTCATTAGATATATGAATTTTCACCTCATTCGGTAATTCACCTTTCGGTTTCTTAATATATTCATTGAATTTTTTTATCTAAGCAGCAATTATAACATCTGTTCCTAAAGACATCATGGTTTACAAAATCATTGCACTGCTCACAGTAGCATCCATAGTACCTTGAGCGTCTCGAGTGGTTTCAAATATTAGCTTTGGTCTGGCATTATCGAACTTGGTTTTGAGGAAAGACTAATTATTTCTCACAATTCAAAATTTTGCTGTTGTCTTGAAAAGAAATTTGAGAATTGTGATTTGACGGCTAGTGAGGTGATTGAAGGACTTATAAACACCAAACCTCTCTCTCTCTCTCTCTCTCTCTCTCTCTCTCTCTCTCTCCTCTCTCTCTCTCTCTCTCTCTCTCTCTCCTGCAGACAAACATCCAAACCCCCAAAAACCCCCTTGACCTCCTCCCTCCACTTATCTCTTCCTCTACTCCTGTCTCTTCCCACCCTATTCCCCCTTCACCTTTCCCTTTCCTCCTTCCTCATTCTTCCTCAATTACTCCATCTCCTTACTGGGTGTTTCCCCTTGGGGGGAAAAACCAGACTAGGTTGTGGTGAAGTTGGAGTATTGGGGGCAGGTTAGATCTTGGTTGTTTTTAGCCCGGATCTATTTGTTGGTTGTTTTTGTTTGCAGGTACTTTATGTTGGTTGTGATTGTAGGGGTTGCGGCTACGTGGTGTTGGGTGGGTGTTGGGTGGCAGGTGTTGGCCTCTGTCTCGATGGGGGCATAATCAGTGAAGCTGGTTTAGGTTTCTATTTGGGATAACTTTGGGTTTAGGTGTGTTTTGTAATAAGTGCAACAACTTCTCATGGTTGCTACGTGGTTTGGGTGTTTTTCTGGGATATTTGCTTTGTCCTTAAGTTACGTAAAGGCTGCTTGTATGGCAAACCGGTAAAATTGTTAATCGGATTTCTTTGACAGTGTCGCATAACATTTGGAGGAGTAACGTAGAAGCTAGATATTATCCATAGATCCCTTCGCTTTGGTTGTAACTCTTTGTTGGGTGATGGCTAACCCCCCTTTGTGGGATTGTATGTGTATTGCCCTAGTTGGGTTTTTCATTAATGCAATCTCCTTGAAAAGGCAACCAAAAAAAAAAACACCATTGCCGTTTCTCAAGCATTTATTTACAATGATGCCCCCGCAATATAGAAGACCACCTAGAATTACTTAATGACACTCGATTAAATATATAACAATCAGATACATAACATATATATATATATATAGTGGCCATGTGGAATTAAACAGAATTAAAAAATATGTTTGATTTCTGAATTAATAATAATATAATTATTATTATTATTATTATTGTATATATATATATATATATATTGTTGTTGTTGTTGAAGGACTGGTGTTTACAAACACCATACCCCTCTCTCTCTTGCCGACAAGCATCCAAACCTCCAAAAAAACCCCATAAGCTCGGGAGAAGGTGGTCACTTCCCCTCATCCCCTCATCCCTTCCTCTACTCTTGTCTCTTCCCTCCGCCTTTCTCTTTCCTCCTTCCCTATTCCTACCTCAATTTCTTTATCTTCTTGCTGGGTGTTTCCTCTTGGGGGAAAACCTTGACTGGGTTGTGGTGAAGTTGGATTATTTGGGCGGGTGTGCCAAGATCTACTTGGATCTTGGTTGTTTTTAGCCCGAATCTGTTTGGATCATGGGTTTGTTGGTTGTTTTTGTTTGCATGTTCTTTATGTTGATTGTGATTGTAGGGGTTGCGGCACCACATGTTGCGGCTACGTGGTGTCAGGTGGCTGGTGTTGGCCTCTGTCTCGACAGAGGCGGCAACATCGATTTAGGTGTGTTTTGTAATAAGTGCAACAAATTCTCGTGGTTGCTGCGTGGTTTGGGTATCTCTCTTGGCGTCAATCAATTTCCCTATATTTCTTGATGAGCTATCCTTCCCTGCACCCGTCTCCATTCCCATATTAGCCCTTGAAGTGAAGGGATCGTGGTTGTGGTTAGGTAAACACAATAGTCAATGCTTGTGTCACCATTATTTGGTGGAGTACATAAGCGATGCAATGCAAGCATGCTTTGACATATGTATGCTGATTTAAATATTACATAAAGGGAACAAACATATCAGCATTCTTGCTCATTCTTTGTTGATTGATGCAGTTGTCAATGGTCATGCACACTCAAGATCTAATATTTTGTCAACAAAATCATTACCAATTAGGTTGTTTATGCCTAAATTTGGTTCAACAACAGGATGACCTCTTCAAGGTCGAGGTTGGGCAATTCGTTCAAACTAGCTTAGCGTAACCTGTGTAACCCCCCCGCCAGGGGGGGGACACTGATGCAATGTGAGCCAAAGACCCTTTAATGCCTAAGCGAGTCGACTACTTCATAACAAAGTATATGAGAGTTTCTGGTACTTAGAATTACGTACCTTTGAGAAAAGGTCATGAAACCATTTCATAGTGGTCTCTCCAGATAACCTAATCCTTCTAAGAGCAATATTCTTGGATGACCACGTCCTAACTCCTAGTAGACACGAACCCTTTCTAAGAATAAGACTCTTTTCTCGTGCATTAGAAGTCCTTTGGGTTAACACCACGTACCTTGGGAATCTACTCCAAATATACCTCAGCTCCTACTTTTTATTCCTCAGCTTAGCTCCTACTTTTTAGGAGTAAGTCTAGGCTGAGGTAGGCAATATTCATGTGGTTCACTCTTCGAGCCCTTTCAACTTGGATCTTTCGCTTAAATATCGGGTTGACATACATTTAATCCTACGTGGAGATAGGCTTGAATATTTAGTCAACATACATTTAATCGGACCGGGAGATAATAGCCCAGCCCAAATATTTGGGATTTAGCTCAGCTTGGCTATTTAAGTTTAACCTAGTAGGGATGGCAATGGGTTGAATCGGGAGTGAGTATGCCATTTCCATTCTCATTCCCATTAAGCATTTTTCCTTATTCCCTCCTTCACACCTGCAATCTTCAAATTGGGAATTCTCCATCCCCGTCTTCATTGGGGTACAGATTCCCTGACCCGCCCCATTACGAAAAAAATACAAATAAAAAGCTACTTCGTTAAATGATAAAAAAGCATTATGAGCATGAAATATTTATCAATTCCATTTTTATTAACTAACCATCTAAACTAGTTTAAAAAAAATTAATACATGTCATAACTACGTGTTCAAGACATCATGATCATTACAGAATTTTTCATGGGCTAAATTATGGCATATATGACATTATTTTTTAACATTTCTGGTGGCTTAAAACAGGTACATGGTGCAGTAGACGATTCTATTGTAGAAACTTCAACAATGTGCTAGAAATTGAATGGTTAAGATTTTGATCTCTGCTAAAAGTAAACTGTTCACCACATAGGTGTTCTTTACACATATTTCATTCACAAGCTGTGTGAAAAATATATACCGTGTATTCAGAAGCTATCTATCGTTGATTTTCAATTCTATTCCTTGAGCTTAGACAATAAAAACAGGCAACCAGAAGAAAGGAGGACAGAGGCAGAAAAGCAAAGCAAGTCAAAAGGAGATTGTATAACTGCTTTCTTACTCTTCTCGAACAACCCAATTAGAAGTAGCATCACTATAACATGGCCAAGCTTCGTTTTCAGCTCGTTCACAGTTGTTATATCTAACCATTTTGGTCGTTCCTGTGAAAAGGAAGGAAATCAAAAGCTCAATACATTTATACAAGTCAACTTAGCCTACAGATGTTGCAAGTTAAACCACAACTGTAATTATGACCTTTTGTTCCAACAAGAAGCATCCATGGTTTCATCCGAATCCCAACGAAGAGAGTAAAAGTTTATAAAATTAACTCTACTCTGTAAAATTCTTATTTTTACATATACTAATACTGAAAACTTTCACCTATTTCCCTTGTACTTTGGCCTGTGTGGCACTTTGCCTCCTGGAAAAATGAAAAATCATTGCCAGTGGTGCCCCCTGAAGCTATAAAAGTTTCAATGTAGGGCTGCCAAACCTGTCCAATTTCCCATGAATTTTGATGTGTGACTCCCACTCGACCCCCTTTTTAGGGGATTCTCGTCACTTCCTCTCTCCTCTCTTTTCTTTCTCCTTCCCCTTTCTTCTCTCTTCTGTGAATTCTCAGAACAAGGGTGAAAGACCTGTGTATCTAGAATGGCTATGGTGGAGTGGGCATGCCAAGACCCATCTGGTTGATATTACCACTGGCTCGGACAACAGGGGAAATCTGAATGAATAAGAGAAATTTCAGTTGTATAGCCACTACAGAAAGGTGCACAATTTGATAAGGCAATAAATAACCACCACCCTCCCCAATGGATGTCATAGGGAAGCTGGAGCAGTTGAGAAGCCACCAACGTTTGCTTCTTGTCTGAAACCACAGTTCCAAAAATTCAGGACCTTGAAACAGATCTTCAGGATGAAGACAGAGAGAGAGCACCCAGAAGAAATTGAGAAGCTTGAAAAATCTGGGTCGGAGGGACTGTTTCTTTAGATTTTGCACTCATCCTTTCCATTCTCTTCTACTTTGTTTTGAAACATTAGTTAGAGGAGTTTGTAAATAATGTCCAAGTCTTTGAGCATAGTTCTAGATTATTGGCATAGATTACCTTACATTGTTCTTATTATTCCTTTTAAGTGCTATTACTGTTCTCCTCTGGGACATAAAGTTGTTATTATTGTTGGCGCCAGCAATTTTTGAGGTTTGCATTCATTACACTTCAAGCATATCGAGGCAACTTCTGGGTATAGCAACTGTGTCTGTGAAGTGTTTCAATGACTTTTTAGTTGTGTTTAAAGGGTAAAACTTGTGTAACTCCCCATTCAATTCTTGTTCGAGCATCATATAGATTCTTCCCTTTAAGTTATGTATCTCATGTTGAGCACCCATATGACTCCTCCATACATTCATAGACTGGTGAGAAACAGAAATGGAATTCACCTAAAAAATATGGGTTTCCCTGATTGGTCAAAGCCAGCGATATCATCATACAATGGTCTTAGAGGCATGGCCATTCCATAGATAGCCATTGCAAATGTACAAGTCACCATACCAATTCCAGATGCAACATCCCTTTACCCCTGTTTTGAGAATTCGCAAAAGAGAGAAGGAAATGGATACGGGAAGACAAAGAGAGACAGTAGAAAGGATAAGGGAGAAAGAAGGGGGAAGTGATGAAAATATCCTCACATATAAAAAATTCAACAGAATTAGACGCATTTGACAGTAGGCTCTACATTGCAACATTTTCAAAGTTCAAGGGGACACAAGACTTATTTTGACCCCTTCTTTTTCGAAGTAGGATCATACATATGAATGCATTGAACAGTAAAATGATAATTCACTGCTGCATAAAATATACAGCCCATAGAAACTGAAATATAGATAATTAATTCAGATAAACTCCATAATTTGCCAAGATACCCAACCTTAAAAACTACTTTTGACTGAAAAAATAAATAAATAAAATATAATATAATCAAGGACCTAACCTAAGGGCATTTTGCATAAGAATTTTCAACTTTAGTTAGTGTTTGCTAATATAGGCTGTCTGCAGCGTTTTAGATTTCCTTAATTCAAGGCTACTTTCTTTGCTTTTCTTGTCAGCTAACATAATTCAAGGCTGATTTCTAGATCATACTACTAGAAGAATGATGTAAACACCTATTTCATGGGCAATGAAAGTCCGCCTCTTATTTTCAAAACTTCAGCAGTTAGTTGGCCACTTTACAACATTATGCATCTTCTAGCATTGCCCACTAATCCTAGAAAGTAAAATAGTATTACTAAAAATATAGCTACGAATATTGCTCAGATATGAGAAAATTCAGTCTGACCTTCAGCATGAACATGCCTAAAAGATTTGATCTGTCAGTAGGTTTATTCTCTTGTGAAGACTTCACAATGTCAAGATTGCTGATAAAGAGCTCATAAAGACCCATTCCAAACACCAACATCACTGTTCCCAAAAGATAGACATCTAAAAATTCCAAAAAACAATAGTTAGCGAGTCATTTGCTGAATATATGACTGTATAACCAGAAAGCAAACATGTATGAACAATAGAATTCAACAGAGGGACGTACGCCCTCGTTTTATTTTATTATTCTGCATCACCTACATTCCCAAGTTCACAGAGAAGTTCAATTTCTAATACTGATGGTGTCAAGTCTAACTCTAACTGCAACTCCTTAAGGTGCTTTTAGAAGTGGTGGTTCAATTTTGGTTTTTGTTTTGTTTTGGTTCAGGTTCAGGATAATATATGTAGGCCAGGCATTTGCAAATGGTATATTTGTTTTGTATAACCAAACACTATATATATCATTTTTTAATTTTTATGTCGTAATCACAGCAGACATGTTAGTCCTACTTTTTAAATATGAACGAATTATTTGATAACAAGTTTTGCATGCAAAAAGTTCAAAGACATGCGATTCCTGAAACACAAACGACCACTCTCTGTATGTAGGGAAATCATTATGGCAAAAGTTTACAATCCAAACTGACTAAATGGATCATATATCCCAGAGAAAATGAAAAACAAAAACACGAATTCAAATAGACTGTCATGATTGAATAGCAAACAAAGCAACTGTGCTCCAAATACACCACATAGCACAAAAAGGAACTATCGTCCAACAAGAGAGCAAATCATCAACTGTCTTAATCATAACTCAAACTAATCTCAGTTAAGCCTAATGACTGCAAATTTTTCTAATTTTAATTGTACCTCTATGTCCTTAACTTCAGAATATCAACACTGGATGAGTGAAAATGCATAAACTTTAGGGGCTAGTATAAAGTTTTATAATTGGAAATTGTAGATCTCTAACTAAATTCATTACTCCAGAAGTTAAAAGCTCTGTTCTTTTCTTTTCTGTTAAATCAAAGATAAACCATTTCTTGCATGCTTCCTCTTGCTTGCTCTTTCTATAGATTGAAAAATATCTTTAGTAAAACCAATATTTGTTTCATGGTTCTTAAAGCACGGACAACAAAACTTAAAAACGTAAATCGTGACAAAAATAATATTTATACACTCACCAATGGCCTCAACCAGCGACCAGATCACTTTACTGCGATTTACAGAGTATTCCATGAAAGACTGTACAACATAAGTGCAGCCCTGCATATCAGGGTAAACATTGTAAATCAATGCTATGAGGAAGCTTACATGTGTAATAAGATCAATATAAAAGCAAAATTCTATAGGATATCATGTTACTCTTAATTTCTAATCCCTACTACTAAAATTTCACTTCCTAATTAAAAAAAAGGAGGGGGATACAGTGACAGCCACATCAACCACCATGCATAACCATGCCAATGGGAATGCCACTTCAGAAATAAAAAATATATATTAGAATAACTGAAGTTGGGAAACAATCTGATTGAACAACCAAATTATATCACACCGGGAATACCAGCAAATGAATGCAGTCAATCAAATTTTCTGGAATCCAAAGTGGTTCCACAATGGGTAATATTGGTTAATAGAAACCTCATACCCAAATTGTTGGGTATAGCAATCGATATTGGGCAGGATGCTAGATACATAACAAATCCACAACTGTTATTGCACATTTGTTGGAGGAAACTTGGTTACTTGAAGAGAAAAAAATAGAATGCTGTTGAAACAGAATATATGAATGGCATCTAAAACAAAGTGAGGTAATTTAGCAGTACATCTTTGATAGCCTATAGAAATGCACGATCAAGCTACCATGCATATAGCTTCATATCCAGTTTTTCTTTAAAGAACAGAACATGTGGTAGATTGTCATTTGTACTAGAAAAGGTTCAACATGGTGATGAACAACTAGCTAGGTTATGACCAAAGGCATAACCAACAGCTCAAATTCAAGAGATACTATCCCAGCTTGGCTAAACTTAACTTTTCGCTACCAGAACCTTCTTTACATTTAGCGCTCTTGGTAGTTAAGTATTGCTGGCAGCTTTGGAAGTTGTGGGACATATTTTTTTCAATAAAATTGGTTGGCATTTGTGTTTATATAAATTTCTATTGGAATTGGTGGTTGCATCACTTTGAGGAGCTCTCTTCTGAAATCTTTGATTTCTTATAAATAAAAAGTACAATACCCTCTGATGTAGTACAGCCCGTAGGTGTTAGATTAAGCACTTAAACAATAGAACAGAGAAGAATATAAGAGACCGAGGAGAAGAAATATAGATCGAAAAGACGAGATAAAGGGCAGAAACAGTAGAACAAAGAAGAATATCGGAGATCGAGGAGAAGAAAAGATCAAACGGACGAAATCAAAGAATTCTAGGAAAAGGTTTACTCAACATTCAAATCTGCATTTTAAAGAACTACATGAGGGTATTTATAGCAAACTAAAACCTAGATGTAATAAGATAAAAATCCCTGAAATCCTAACCCAAATAAAAAAGGAAACTTAAAACTAGAAATCTGGAAATCTGGAAATCTGGAAATCAGGAAAAGTTGAAATCCTACTAGAACTTAGAAAACTAGAGAATCTAGGAAACTAACAAATACATTAGGAAACTAATAAATTTAGGTCCTACGCGTACTGCATCATTCTCCCCCGGCGAAAAGAACTTGACTCCAATGAGCAAACAACCACAAAATGTAAATTAACAACGATGACGCCAACTGAAAGTATGAATAATAGGGAACGAGGGTCTGCAATCATTGATGTCTGGATCATAGACACCTTCGAGAGGCTCCACAATCTCACAAAGCTCACTATCGGGAGTGTTGATAGTTAAAGTTCGCCGCGGACAACGAGAGGCAATATGTCCTTTGGCATGACAATGGAAACCTTCAATGCGAGCATTAGTAGAAACAGCCGGTCCTTTGTTAGGTGGCGGTGCAGTAGGGTTAGATGGTCCTGAAAACCCCATCTGCATACCCGTAGTAGGAAGAGTTTGGTTGGCAGTTGCAGGCTGGCCACAATACCCCAAATGTTGAGGCCGCAAATATGTTTCAGCTTCCAATGCGTGGCAATATGCATCTTCCAAACAATGAGGACGAAACCGACGGATTTCATGCTGAATATCGTCATGAAGACCATGGATAAAGCGAGACACAGTGATTCCTGGTTCTTCACGAATCCCCGCACGTATTTTCTGTTTAATAAAACGAGCATGGAATTCAGTAACTGTCGAATTTCCTTGGGAAATGGTCCATAATTGATCAAACAATTGCTGTCGATAAACGGTGGGAACGTATTGTTCGCGAAGCTTCAATTTCATCTCGTCCCATAGAGTCACAGGCGGCCGTCCAAATTGATAGAGTTGCTCCTCCATGGAATTCCAATATTGTCTAGCGGCTCCCCGTAGTGTCATCTTAGCAATGCAAAGTTTATGAGCATCCGTCAAGTTGTACCATGCGAAATAATCTTCCATAGCTTGAACCCAATCAAGAAATATCGTAGGATCCCCACGACCATCAAAAGTAGGAGCAGTAGGCTTGATGTGGCGGATGATATTGTTGTCAAAATGGCGAGGGAGATGAGTGTACTGATCATGTGGAACGGGTGGCGGGGTAGGAGTCTGAGTAGTCACTGGAGGAGGGCCTGCTGTGTGCTGGGTATAATGGGGCGGCGACATAGACCCAAAAGAAAAGTGATGCAGAATGCATATTATTAGTTTTCCTAATTCTACTTGGATTAGTTTTCCTAATTCTTAAGATTCCTTCTTGTTAAAGGATCTCGTATTAGTTAATTTGTTTTCCTAATTCTTAAAGATTCCTTCTTGTTAAAGGATCTCTTATTAGTTAATTTGCTTTCCTATTTCTTAAAGTTTACTTTCCCTTTTCCTAGACTAAAAAGGTTTTGCCTCTATAAATAGAGTTGTTTGTAATCTTTTAAGGCAGACTTGATTAATGATAAATTTCCTTACTTTGAACTCTCTGATTCCTTCCCCTTCCCTTCGTCTTTTCGATCTCTAATTCTTCTCTTCGATCCCTTATTTCTTCTCTGTTCTATTGCTCAAGTGTTTACTCTAAACCTACGGGCTGTTCTACATCAATTGGTAATCAGAGCCTTCCCTCACTTTCGTTTGCGTTTGCTCTCTACCATGGCACCCCAAACCGTGGCCAGCCTTGCTGAACAGTTTCATGCGTTTCGAGACAAAGTTTCTGACGATATCGCTGGCATGGAAACCCAACTCTCCAAACTCAGTGTTGACTTCAAAGACGAGTTGGTACAGGCTCACACACATCGTGCTGACCTCAAAGACAAATTGGTACAAGCTCACACACATCGTGCGCAGACGGACCTTGCCATCACCAAACTCCAAGACTCCGTTCAGTTGCTTATCAATCACTTTCGGGCTGGACATGCTGAACCTTCTACCTCCGTGGTGCTCTCGAGTTCATCTACGCCACCACCGACAAGTGGCCTTTTGCCCAATCCACCAGTGGATCAAAAACTCAAGGCCGTGCCATACGGCATGCCGCATAGCTCCACGGGCCCTCGCTTGATGAGCCCAAGACTCAATTGGAGGCCCCCTTTTCTTTTGGGTCCCTTCCACCGCTCCATTATACCCAACACACAACGGGCCCTTCTACAGTTCCACATGATCAAGGCACTCATCCCCCTCGTCGTTTTGACAACGATGTCATCCGCCACATCAAGCCGACTGCTCCTACTTTTGATGGTCGTGGAGATCCTACGATGTTTCTTGATTGGGTTCAAGCCATGGAAGATTATTTCGCCTGGTACAACTTGACGGATGCTCATAAACTTCGCATTGGTAAGATGACACTACAGGGAGCCGCTAGACAATATTGGAATTCGGTGGAGGAGCAACTATATCAATTTGGACAGCCACCTGTGACTCTATGGGACGAGATGAAATTAAAGCTTCGCAAACAATATCTTCCCACCTTTTATCGCCATCAATTGTATGATCAATTATGGACCCTTTCACAAGGAAGTTTGACTGTTACTGAATTCCACGCTCGTTTTATTGAACACAAGATACGTGCAGGGATTCGTGAAGAACCCGACATCACTATGTCTCGCTTTATCCATGGTCTTCGTGACGATATCAAGCGTGAAGTCCGTCGATTCCGTCCGCATATTTTGGAAGATGCATATTGCCATGCACTGGAAGCTGAAACTTTTTTGGGCCCACAACGTAGATATACCGGGTCTTCCGGGCTCTCTTCTGCTCCTACTCCAAATCGTAGTACTCCTAGCTCCACATATGGCGTTGCCGGTCCACCTGCTCCTACGATACCCACAACAGAAAAAAGACCAGCCCCATCCACGGCTGCTCACATCGAATGCTATCGTTGCCATGCTAAGGGCCACATTGCCTCCCGTTGTCCGCACCGAACTTTAACCATTGGCTCCCTCAATGAGGACTCTTGTGTGGACGTGTATGTGGAGCCCCTTGAACCTATTTATGATCCAGAACTTGATAATTGCTGTGAGGAGGCGTTTCACCAAGTGAGTGTCATGCGTTGTATTTATTCAGCATCTACGCCTCCACCTCCTAATTCATGGAAACGCACAAGTATTTTTCAAACCTATGTCCCTTGCGGTACTAATAGATGCCAACTAGTTATTGATGGGGGAAGTACACTAAATGTTATCTCTAAAGCTGCTGTCGACCGCCTTCACCTTCAGGCCGAGCCACATCCCCATCCTTTTCATGTTGGCTGGGTAGATAACACCATGTTACCTGTTACTGAAAGATGTCTTGTTCCTCTTCAATTGGGTCCCTGTCATGAGCGACTTTATTGTGATATTCTACCCATGAGTGTCGCACATGTGCTACTAGGCCGACCATGGCTTTACGACCGCTGTGTGAAAAGTTGTGGCAGAGAGAACACATATACTTTTCAACATGAGGGAAAGAACATAACGCTAACGCCTTCCAATCCGGCCATCAAACCAACTAAGGATGTTCAACCGACTCTATTATTTAAAGAGAAGGCTTCGGAGCATCGATTGAGTAGTTTATCATCTGTAAACTTTGCACACGAACTGCAAGACACTGGTGTGTCCTTTGCTCTATTGCTTAGACCGAAATCTAACAGCAACCCCACACCACTTGCCGAACCCATACATCAGTTCCTCCCTAAATTCTCTAATATCATACCTGATGACTTACCAGATGCACTACCTACCGTAAATAATATTACCGGTTTCATTCCTCCTCCGGTGCCGAGAAGGATGCCGCGTAGTCCTTCTCCTAGTTCTACCCCTACAGATCAGATTGAGGACGTCTCAGATCATGAAGTTGTGGCCTCGTCTCCTGGAGATTCTACCTGTTTTCTGGTTCATTGGGTTGGAAGGCCTGCTACTGAGGATACTTGGATTACAAAAGCTGAATTTCGCCAGTTGGATTCCACTCTTCTGCACAGTTATCAGATGCTCTTCATGACATTGATTTGGCTGCCTCCCGTCCTCCCATCATCCATACTTACAAACATCGTCGTCATCCTTCATCTTGGTATACTCGCCGGTGTCGAGTTCTTTTTGGTGGGGGAGAATGATGCAGAATGCATATTATTAGTTTTCCTAATTCTACTTGGATTAGTTTTCCTATTATTCTTAAGATTCCTTCTTGTTAAAGGATCTCGTATTAGTTAATTTGTTTTCCTAATTCTTAAAGATTCCTTCTTGTTAAAGGATCTCTTATTAGTTAATTTGCTTTCCTATTTCTTAAAGTTTACTTTCCCTTTTCCTAGACTAAAAAGGTTTTGCCTCTATAAATAGAGTTGTTTGTAATCTTTTAAGGCAGACTTGATTAATGATAAATTTCCTTACTTTGAACTCTCTGATTCCTTCCCCTTCCCTTCGTCTTTCGATCTCTAATTCTTCTCTTCGATCCCTTATTTCTTCTCTGTTCTATTGCTCAAGTGTTTACTCTAAACCTACGGGCTGTTCTACATCAAAAAGCGGGGCTCCAATTGAGCCTTGGGAGTGCCGAGCGAGAGACCAGTTGAGGTATGTGGCATGCCGTATGGCACGGCCTTGAGTTTTTGATCCACTGGTGGATTGGGCAGAAGGCCACTTTTTGGCGGCGGCATAGACGAACTTGAGAGCACTGCTGAGGTAGAAGAAGGCTCTGCCGCTCCAGCCTGAAAGTGATTGATAAGCACCTTAACAGAGTCTTGGAGTTTGTTGATGGCAAGGTCCGTCATCGCAAGATGTTTGTGAACCTGTACCAGCTCTTCTTTTTGTTCAGCGCTGAGCTTGGAGAGTTGGGTTTCAATGCGGGCGATATCGTCAGAAATTTTGTCTTGGAACTCATGACATTGTTCCACGAGGCCAGCCACGGTTTGGGGTGCCATGGCAGAGAGTAGACACAAGCAAAATCGAGGCCTGGCTCTGGATACCAATTGATGTAGTAAACGAATCACATACCTTTCTGACAAACCGGATTAATTAAGAGGGGCTAGATCGACATCTCAGCTAAGGCAGGGCATTCATGGATGGTCCGACAAAGCAGCTTTTCCGTGGGGGGTCAATCGATCCTACTAACTCCTAAATGGCTCCCTAATTCCTCACCTAAAACATCCCATAGGCGACAAAGAAAAGAAGTGATTAAAATCTCCTCGTATAGACAAGTAAGGTAAGGGTATCTGTTGTTTTCGGTCAAAGCGAGAGTGCCGATCAGAAGTAGCAAAAAAGGACTCTGTTTTTGATGAATTTCTGAGAAAAGTCGTTGAAAAAGTGGGTGAAATTAGTCAGCTGGGTGAGCTCGGAGCTTAGGCAGTGGAAAAGTGCTTCAAGGAAATAGAAAAGATTGAAGCTCCTTGCTTGGGTTCGGTTATCAGTAAATGTATAGGGCCACTTTGGGTATTGAAGTGAAGATACTTGCATAAATATAAACTTCGGGCGTAGAAGAGAAGCCCTTTCTGATACGTCAAAAAAAGAAGCCGATTCTACGCCGTAAAGGAAGTGTGTGCCCAATAACTAACCAGGATGAGCACAGCCCGTAGGTGACTGAGGAGAAGAATATAAGAGTACGAGGAGAAGAAATATAGATCGAAAAGACAAGATAAAGGGCAGAAACAGTAGAACAAAGAAGTATATTGAGATCGAGGAGAAGAAATATAGACCGAAGGGACGAAATCAGAGAGTTCTAAGAAAAGGTTTACTCAACATTCAAATCTGCATTAGCAAAACTGGAAAACCAAAAGTTTGCTATACTACATGGGGGTATTTATAGCAAACTAAAACCTAGACATGATAAGATAAAAATCTCTTGCTTAAACAGAAATCCTAACCCAAATGAAAAAGGAAACTTAAAACTAGAAATCTGGAAATCTGGAAAAGTTGAAATCCTACTAGAATTTAGAAAACTAGAGAATCTAGGAAACTAACAAATACATTAGGAAACTAATAGATTCACCCTTTTGTTATACTAAATTTTCTACCATTAGCAAAATCTTCTTTTTCTTGCATTCTATAAATATCATCCATGCCAAACTGGAAAACCATCCCACTGCGAGACATCTCTCATCAACAAAAGAAAAGTGTTGCCTTATACGTTGATAACAAGATGAAGGAATTTGGAGATGGCAATTGAAAAATAACAATCATTTTTAACAACTAAAAGAACAAACAAAAGCAGAATCAAAAAAATTAGTACCAAAAAAAGAAGAAAATAAAAGCAGAATCAAAACATGGTTCGGCTACAAGTAGAATAAAAGCTACCTCAGCGATTTGATAATCATACCTTGATGAAACAAAGAAACGACCCAATCAAAGACCCCAAAACTCCCAAAAACGCCATGAACCGAAATCTGTATATTACCTACATATCCAGCAAAACACCCACACACAAAAAAACGCTAAGAAGAAATAAAATCAAAACTATGCCAAACCGAATAGAGGCTACTTGATTAAAAACTTAAAATTGTGCCATTAAAATATAACTTGCGGTACCTTGTCTAAGTATTCCTCAACGGCTTCTACTTCACTTGGTGAATTCTGAAAGGAACTGGAGTCGGAGTCGACATTGGAAGGGATCAGCTGGGACGATGAATGTTGAGGGTCAGAAGAAACGCCATGTCTAGAGCTGGCAGCCATGGAGACGATGAATTTGAAAGCATGGGGACTAAACCCAGAGATCCTATTCAAATTTGGACTCAGTTTTGCAGTTTTGTTGAAGGATGATGGTAAAGGTGGAGGTGGTACTGTCCTAATGGGTTTTGAGAACAAAGGCCGAGGCAGTGTCATGAAAGCTATTTCGTTGGTTTACTGAGTTCGACTTTGTCACTCGGTGAGTCAGTTTCAGCTGGGAACTCGGGAGTTTTGAGAAGACGAAGCTGTTGCCAAATTGGAAAGAATAGCCTGATTGAGAAGGTAAAGTTGTGTAATAATATGTTCGGGAAACTTACAAAATTCATCATCCTTTTTGGCTTGTTCTTTCTTTGTCTTTTTAATGACTCGATCCTATCGTTTGGCTTGTAGTTTCTGTAGTTTTTGCCAATTTCTTGGCGTTAACTCGATTTACCCCTTAAATTTGTACACTATTTTTAATTTGTTACTTCAACTTTTTTTTAAGAAAATTAAGTACATGAACTAATTTTTATTATTAATTTCTCCCCTACTATCTAAATCAACAACATATCATTCAATAATCTATCAATCATACCAAAAAAAAAAAAAAAAAAAAAAAAAAAAAAAAAAATTTAAAGAAAAAATAAAGAAAAAAAAAAAAAAGAAAAAAGAAAAAAAAAAAAAGAAAAAAAATTTCTCCTCGTCCTCCCCCTGATTCCCCCATGACTATCCAAGTTGGATCAGGCTTTGAGGAGACCAATGGTAGAGAGAGAGAGAGAATTGTAAAACCTCACTTTTTGTTTTGAAAACTGGGCCTTTTTTAAGTGGTTTTTGAGTTGAGCTTTTGAAAAAGGGGCTTTACCAAATGTGAATTATGGGCTTCGAACTAAAACAATTATTTTTTAGCTTAAAAAAATGAATCCAATTAGGATACCTAACATGCCCTAAAAGTTCAGGTGGTATTTTCACACATGCCTAAAAGTTTTATACAAATTTCCCAAAAAAGAATTGTTAAAAAAAAAAAAAAAAAAAAAAAAAAAGTTAAGTTAATTAAGCTTGTTTCTTTCCCCCCAAAATGCTCTTACACTTGTGTACTTAATCAAACAATAGTAAACTACCGAATTATCACCATGTTTTCAATTTTTTCCTTGAATTTTTTTTTGTCAATTAAGGATACGAACTGACTTTTTTCGCTAATGTCTCCCTACCGTCAAATTCCCTAACATTTCATCTACTTCTCTATCAATATTGAGTAGGGATGGGAATTCAAACCGGAAAATGGAAATCGAGCCAAATTGGGCTGAAAATAATCGAAAAAAAACTTGTGAGAAACCTGTTTTTTTATTTATTTAAAATATATATATTATTATTTTAAAGAAATATTCATACTGCATATTACATTTGATGTAATCTCCTTAGAATATATTTCGTGTAAAATAAATAAAGGGCAAGTTTATTTTGTTATCTTTTGCATCGAGTAAAGAAACAAATGTCCGGGGTATGCTAAATAAGAGATAAAGTACTCTAAAAAAGATTAGATTCATGAGACATTTAATTTCTAACTTTAGTATCCTAAAATGTTCCTAATCATAGGGTTATCAAATGGACATTGATAAACCATCAAGATTAGCACATACTGTGTATGCTCAATTAGGAGGATGATTAGTCTCAAACCATTTGTGTAGATTGTGCTCAATAGTGATTGAGTACATTGAATGCAATCAACCATAGTTCTCATACGAAGCTTTATCTACATGTCAAATGAGAACTCATAGTTGCAATAATGCAAATTAGTCCTTAGACCTGAGGCATCATAATTTCATTGTGATGCGTTATTGATCTTTGATAGCTAGCAAAGGTAAGTCATAAAAGATATGTCCATCTGTTTTCATTATTGTACTACTTTTGTTTTACTTTGTCTTACTCCCTTTTTCATTTGTGCTAGAGAATTATGAAGTCCTTATTTGTCTTAAGGCATAGAAAAGAACCTCATTGATTTAGTTTACTGTTTCAATTCACAATCGTTTGATTTTAAGTTATTTACTTGGTGCGCAAGTCTATATTTATTTATATTTTCTTTATTTTCAAGTCTATTAGAATTCTAACTTTGCTAATAGTAGCATGCTCGCAACTCACACTTCCTCAAAGCCTATTCTAGGGGTTTTAAAATTTTCAGGGTAAACAAGAGCGGAGGAGTTGTTGATGGTGTCGTGGCATGGGTCATTGGTTTGTCGTTGCTAGGTGTCAGTGATGGGGTTATTGTTTTTCTAATTAGGAGGTTTTTGAGACCTTAATAGTGTTTCTTTATTTTTTGAATCAAATTGGTTTTATTTCTTTATAAATATATAGTCTTGAATTTGGGGGAGGAATGAAGAAAATAAAGAGAAGGTTGTGAAAGAGACAACTTTTCCCTTAATATTGACGAAGAAGTGGATGAAATGTTAAGGAATTTGACGGTAGGGGGACATTAGCAAAGCAAATTAGTTTGTATCTTTAATTGACTAAAAAACAAATTTACAGGAGAAATCGAAAATTTGGTGATAATTCGAAGGGTAATTCAACAGTTTACTCTAATTAACAAATATATATTTTTAGAATTTTTTTATAAAAATTATTTTTTGATCAAAATTATTTTTTAAAATTAATATGTTAATGTTAGTAGGATTAATTTTTTTCTTTTTTAGTAAATAAAAAAACACTGACTAAACTTCATCCAATGACTAAAATATTGATAATATCTATCGAGGATATTATTGTTTTTTGGTGTAGGATATTTTGGAACATATCCATACACATATCGTATAAGTATCGATAATATCGAAAAATATCGACTCAATAATTTCTCTCACACATCAGCAACATTTGGCCAAAATATCGCTATAATATTGATAATATCGAGATGATGAAGACAATGAAAAATTTGAAGAGTTATTTACACTAACACCCCTTGAGGTTTCTTGTGTTTTCACAGAACCCCATTAGGTCTCAAAAATTACACGAATACCCTTTGAGGTTTCCAGTTTGTCCAAAAATTGATGATTTCATTGAAAAAAAACTTATGTAGATGACAAAATTAACCTCAATGAAATATATTCAATCTAATCTCAATGAACAACTTTGTCATTTGGAGAATTTTTTTGGTATAAAATCATCAATCTTTAGATATAAAATCAATGAAAATGAGTTTTGTGAAAACAATTTAAAATTTCAGGGGGTGTTCTTTTAATTTCTTAAACCTCAAGGAGTTTAGTGAAAAACCGAAAACTCGAGGGGGTGTTAGTGTAAATAACTCAAATTTGAACCTTATAGGATCTCTATGTGGTACTAAGCCACTCTTGTATCTTACCGTGCAATGTATAAAGTGTAAAATATTGTCGTAAATCATTATAAATAAATGATTATGGTGTGTTTTTATTCTTCTTTCATTAATTACTACTTATTTTATACATTTGCAATGTTTGTCAGCTCGCTGTATAATCAACTTAAATCAATTAAACTCATCATGCAATGCATTTCCTTTCAATTTTTTGTGATAAAGTAATAGATAATTAACTAAATAAACATCCTCCAAAGTTTTTAGAATTTTTTTCAAGTTTTTCTTACAATTTACGTGGTTTTTATTCAACTTTTATTGATATCGATAATTTCCCTATATTTCCACATAAATTTCCGTATTTTTCGACTACCGATATTTTCGAAACCATCGATATTTTAGACCTTAACTTCATCTAACCGTCCTAAATTAATTACTTTAATCATTTTCTCAACAAAAACAATTATTTAAACAATTTCCCCTGTAAAATTTTCTCAAATAGTTGAGTTACATGCCCTTGCGATATTTTTTTTGGGAAATAACGCTTAATGACATTGCTTTTTTAATTTTAACTGGAAATACCATCTTTTCCCACAATTTTGCAAACATCACCTATAAATACATACTTATTGCCCACTTATTGACCAAATAACACTTTTGGTCAGTTTTTGTTCTCTCTCTGCTCTTTCTTCGCTCTCTCTATCAACTCTATCTCCTAATTCTCTCTCCCTCTCTCAACGCTCTCTCTCTCTCTCTCTCTCTCTTTCTCTCTCTCTCTGTGACCACCACCACCACTCTCTCTCTGCTAGCTAACTACACCTCTTCTCATGAAGAAGAAGATCAAGAACAACCTACAAAACCCACAGCTTTGCCCTCAAAACCTAGTTCTTCCTCTTCCTCTCTATTTTCTTCATTACCCCAATCTGAATCCTAACTTCATCTCTCTTCGAATCCCTTTCGCAACCTAAGCAAACCCAAAAAAAACATATTTTTTGAATATGATAGCATGTCTTGGCATTAGGTGGCCATTGTTTGAGCCATTTCGTCCAATTTGGGGGGTTTTGAAGTTAAGGTTTACATGCCCTCTTTAGGAACAGCTTCTCTAGAAAATGAATTATTGGGAATATGTGAGTTTTGATGTTAAATTGAATTTGATTATTGAAATTGGAATTGTGATTGATTTCGTCTGTATTTTGTGTAGAAAGTGAAGTATTGTGATTGATTTTGTTTGTCTGAAACAACAAATGTGTTTGTTCTTTTTGTTGATTGATTCTTGTATTTGGTATTGGGATTTTCTATGAACTTGTTATGATTATATCATAGTGAGGTAGCATTGTCAATTTGCTATTACAATTGCATTGTTGTTTTATTGCAGTTATATTGTAGTAATATTATTTTTGTATTGCTATGATATTGCTGTTATATTGATTTTTTTTGGTGTTATATTGATATGTTACTATAATTTAATAGGAATATATGTTGATATCATTTTTCTTTATCTGCTTGTGATTTGTGTAGGAGTTGAAATTATTCCTAGCTGAAGTATTATTTATGATCTCTCTCTCTATGCTCTTCATATTTTTCTCAACATTTGTGTTAATTTAATGCCTAGTATTGTTTTGGAACCATAATCATTGTCAATCTCATTGTTTCTTTAGAAGATTGCTGTGAAATTGTTACTCCATTTTCTTCTTTCCTTTGTTTTAAGATATTTTTGTTTGAAGAAAAAGAACTCTGTTTTTGGAATCTAAAAGACTAGGTATCTATATCTCACATCTTGGGACTAATTGAATGTGCTTTTTGATATTGAAAGGAAGTTGGCATCTTTGGTTGAAAAAATGAAGGTGTTACTGCTGAAGTAATTTCTACTTGATTTCAATTTGCCTATAAAACTTGTTGACTGGTGCTCAACAAGTTGGGTTTTGTAGCTTGAGTTGGCATTATAATTTAGGTTTGCTTTTTGCATGTGTGTGTTTTAATGGATTGGATCTTCTACCTGTATGTTTGTCATATCTCAATCATGTTTCTGAGATGAGTTGTGCAGTAGTGTTGGTTGAAATTAATATGTAATTTATTCATTGAAAGCATATTGTTTCCCGATGGTGAGTACTTGACCAAATTATAATTTTCTGCAGTTTTGTCTTGACAATTTATGTTTCTTTTTCTTTTTCTTTTCAAATTGCACAAGGAAAAGAAAAGCCGCACCCAACTCGTTTCCCTGTCAAGAACAAATTTGAGGTTAACAGTTACACAATGTGGTTTAGCTGGTTTGTGTAGTTACTGATGTGCAAGTCATACACTAGCGTTGGAGACCATTTTGTGCATAATGTAATGTGTAGACAATGAGTTCTTTGAGATACCTTCTGAAGACAAAAGCATTGCTTTTATTATGAAAATGCTAAGCAAACTTGCAGCAAATTGTACAGATCATCGATTATGCTTGTTATTATTAGGCCCCAAGAATTAGTAAGGGCATCTAAGACATTATTCTTCTTGTGGAGCCGCATGTTTCTAATATTTGTGTAATGTATTTGATACTGTTTTTGAGGTAATTACTATAATGATATGAAATTTTCATACATGGTTATTATTTTTTACGTACTATTTATTATCTGTAGCAACTGAATATTGTAATAGTTCAACAATTAGAACATTATATAATTTGGGAAAGAGAGTACAAAGACATCCATAAGATATTTGTTTATTGCCACTTTATTGCTTGTTTATTGCTTTCATATTACTTTTGTACATATATTGCCACTTTATAATCTACATGACATTATAATGGAGTGGAAGCAATTGTGGATATCGTCAAAATTAACCATTCTTATATTGTCATCTTTTATGTTTCAAAACTGTCGTATACGTGACTACCGTCCCTTGCTCAAGATCCCAAAGTTTTCAAGTAAATTAAAATAAAATTTCATTTAATTTTATCAAAATAATTACATGGTCTCCTATACAATAATATTCAATATATGTTTTTTGTTTCACGTAATCTTAAAAAATGACCAAGTATCTCAAGAATTAACAACTTGAAAACAAAAATCTCTTATTTAATTGTTGTATTTACATGAAGCATCATCCCTTTTACTCTTGCAGCTGCTCAAGCCAAACCAACCAAAACAAATCCAATAATCTGAAATGAAACCAAGCAAGCCTCCAAGTTAAATTTACAACCTGCAAACATAACAAAAAATAAATCATGCTTAAATTTACAACTAGAACATAAAACCTCAAGTGTAAATTCTTTTAGTTTACAAATATAATCTCCATATCAAAGTGAAGTTAATAATGAAAAAAATTATTAAGAGGGAAGAGAGTTCACCATTATTAATAGTGAAGTTAACTGTCTACCACAAAGCAATAAAATGGCAATAGAACGACAATATATAAACATGCAATAAATGGAAATAAACAAGCAATAAAAAACAAATTTGAATTTCAAAGGCCCAAATAATTTCCATTTCTCAAACAACTTAAGAAGATGACTATTGCATGCTACTAAGTAAAAGCTAACTGCAAGCAATGAGTTCACCTACAGCTCATAGAATTGCTATAAGAAGAACACACAAGAACCAATGAAATAAAGCATCATGTCATAAGGCTCCACAAAAAGAATACATAATGTCTTAGATGTCCTTACAAATTACTAATTCTTGGGGCCTAATAATAACAAGCATAAGCCAAACTTATTTACTAGTTCTCCTCAAAAGTCATGATCCAAAATCCACTAGCTGATCAGTCTCTCCAATCTACCAAAATATATTTCGTTCATTTATAGAATATAAGATACTTGATAAAACAAACCAAAAAGCATGAAGCTCTCGTAGGCAAATCTTTCATTCATCGATAGAATCTAAGATATTTAATGAATCTACTTCCATACAAAGTCATCAATTATTTTCATTAAATGCAAAATGACATGTCAACCATTGTGCTTTCACCCGAAGAATTTGCTAATTTGAAGCAAAATGACATCTTTCTAGATAAACACTCTAGCTATGTTCAACTATATGTCTGTTATGTATAAGCTTTTCATAATTTCTTATCATTTAAAAACTTTTGCTGGTATTGAACTCAATACACCAATGAAAACATTTTGAGACAGTTTGAATATTACAACAGAGCAAGCTATCACAATTGCAGAATACCTCTTACCTAAGATGAGTGACATAGATACATTGCTAGCATACAAAACTTTTCAAATTTTAGACTCAGCCAAAGTTGAAGTGCAAAGTAGTAAATTGACATACATAAAGTTTGGATCTTGCAGATAAGAAAACACTCACCAAGAGTACCTAGTCTCTTAGAATTCAAAAATAGAGTTCTTTTTCTCCAAAAAAAAATATCTTAAAACAAAGGAAAGAAGAAAATGGAGTAAACAATGAGAAACAATGAGATTGATAATGATTATGGTTCCAAAACAATACCAGGCATTAAATTAACACAAATGTTGAGAAAAATACGACAAGCAGAGAAAGAGAGAGATCATAAATAATACTTCAGCCAGGAATAATCTCAACTCCTACACAAATCACAAGAAGATAAAGAAAAATGATATCAACATATATTTCTATTAAATTACAGTAACATATCAGTATAACACCAAAAAAAAAGAATTCAATATAACAGTAATACCATAACAATACAAAAGCAATACCACTACAATACAACCGCAATAAAACCACAATATAATTGTTATAGCAAATCGACAATGCTACCTCACTATAATAGAATCATAAAAAGTTCATAGAAAATTCCAATACCAAATGCAAGAATCAATTGACAAAGAACAAACACATTTGTTGTTTCAGACAAACAAAATCAATCCCAATACTTCACTTTCTACACAAAATACAGACGAAATCAATCTCAATTCCAATTTCAGTAATCAAATTCAATTTAACATCAAAACTTACATATTCCCAACAATTCATTTTCTGGAGAAGCTGTTCCTAAAGAGGGCATGTAAACCCTGACTTAAAAACCCCTCAAAATTGGACGAAAATGCTCAAATAATGGCCACCTAATGCCAAGACATGCTGTCATATTCAGAAAAGATGGTTTTATTTGGATTTGTTTAGGTTGCAGAAAGGATTCGAAGAGAGACGAAGTTAGGGTTTAGATTTGGGTAAAGAAGAAAATAGAGAGGAAGAGGAAGAACTGGGTTTTGTAGGTGTTCCTAAAGAGTGTTGAGAGAGAACAAAAACTGACCAAAAATGTTATGTGGCCAATAAGTGGGAAATATGTATTTATATGTGATGTTTGCAAAATTTGTGGGGAAATATGGTATTTCTAGTTAAAATCCCCCCCTCTTTTTTATTTTTTTTTAAATGGAACTAAGCCCTTGCGAAATTGAAACGATGAATAAAATTGTAACTCAAAACACATGATTAAGGAAAAATAAATTTTTTATGTATTTTTTTAAGAATATTTGTATTTTGTTTGTGCAAAAATTAGTGTTTGGTATTGTTGGAGATGGGGTAATAATAATAACCAGTGTCTAGTCTGTTCAAAGTTCAACATGGAGGAGGGCATGGCCGAGAACCAAATCGCACCACCACACCCAATTCACCGTCCCTCTCCTTCTTCGCAGCTCCCCCCATCACCGACCTCCATCTCATCGTCGGTCAAGATCATCCTCGACATCCTAATCCGAACCACACCCCAGCAGATCGAACCGGCTCTCGCCTCCACCGGAATAATCCCCACCACCGAAGTCGTCGTCGAAGTCCTGAAGCTCTCGTACGACTACCCATTCTCCGCCATAAAGTTCTTCCGATGGGCCGGGCTGGCCCACAAGCACTCAGCCCACGCCTGGAACCTCATGGTCGACCTCCTCGGCCGCAATCGCCTCTTCGAGTCCATGTGGGACGCCATCCGCTCAATGCGGCAGGAAAAGACTCTCTCCTTGGCTGCCTTCGCCTCCGCCTTCGGAAATTACTGCGCTTCTGGAAGCTTCGACGACGCCCTCATGACTTTTCAGGTCATGGACAAATACGGCATCCCAAACGACGTCGTTGCCGCCAATTCTCTGCTCAGCGCAATGTGCCGCGAAAACGGCGGCGTTTTGAGGGCTCTGGACTTCCTCGAGACCATGAAATCGAAGCCGGAATTCTGCCCCGACGGCGACTCGTTCGCGATTTTGCTCGAGGGGCTGGAGAAGGAAGGGGATGCGGCGAAGGCGAAGACAACGTTTGGGGAAATGGTGGTGAGAGTTGGGTGGATGCCGGCGAACGTGGCGGCTTACGACGCTTTCTTGATGACGCTGGTGAGAGGGGAACAAGTGGAGGAGGTTGTGAAATTCTTGATTGTGATGAAGAAGAATAGCTGCTTGCCAGGTTTGAGATTCTTTTCCAGTGCTCTTGATATTCTTGTTAAGCGGAAGGATTCGAAGAATGCAATTTTGATTTGGGATGTTGTGGTTGGCAATGGTAATGGGTTGGTGCCTAATTTGTCAATGTACAATGCCATGATTGGATTATTGTGTGATTGCAATGAGGTCGATGATGCATTTAGGCTCCTTGATGAGATGGTATTTCATGGTGCTTTTCCTGATTCTTTCACTTATAATGTGATCTTTAAGTGTTTGATTAAGAACAAGAAGGTTGGTGATGCCGGTAAGTTTTTTGTGGAGATGGTGAAGAATGAGTGGCTTCCCACACATGCTAATTTTGCTGCTGCCATCACCATGTTTTTCGAAGGGGATGACCCTGAAATGGGGGTTCAGATTTGGAACTTTATGGTTGAAAACAAGGTCGAGCCTCTTGATGCAGCGGCCAATGCCTTGCTCTTGGGGCTTTGTAAGTTAGATAGGTTGTCAGAGTTGAAGAGGAATGCTGACGATATGCTTGATAGAAGGATCAGCATATACGAATCGACAATGGCGAGCTTGAAGAGTGCCTACTATAAGGATGGCAGAGGTGCAAGGGACAAATATGATGGCTTGGCAAGGAGGTGGAAGACCTCACTAGGTCGCTAGACATTTTGTGGCTTAGGTTCTTTTTTTGATATGTATAGGAGTTATGTTCTTTACTTGCATAGGCGTAATCACTTGTGTAAAGTGCGTATATATTCTTTTTCCGTACCAAGCAGGTTTTATGGTTAACTGTTATTATACAAATTGCCTCTTGTAGCTGTCTGACCTATTCGTCTTCTCTCTCCTCCTGTTCCTCCTTTTTTTCTTTGTTTATCTTTTCTGATATATTCAGTTTGATTTTGATTTCTTGTTGTTCAATGTGCCTGCTGCTGGTTGTGAAATTCTTTCCTTCCTTGAGTTCCTGGTATGAATGCTTTCTTGTTACGTGTTTCCAGAGCTTTTATTATTTAACAGTGCAATCACCAAGCTGCATATAAATGCTGAGAGCATTAGTAGCTCTCTTTACTGCATTTTGGTGCTTCGTTTAATATTTATTTCATTTATAATTTTTTTGACAGTCGCTGGCCCTTTTCAATGTCTTTTTTGAGAATTTCTATTCTAGACTTTGCTAGATGGCCTCTCATCCTGGTAGTTGGTGTCCTTGAATCATAACTTGAGAGTCATTATGCTTGTTTTGACTCATTGGTGTACATTTCATGAGGCATCGTTGGATTGTTCTTTGGAATGTAAATGATGCCTCCTGGTGCAGGTTTGTCATCTCTGTATCTGTATCCCTTTTCTCTCCCTTGATGGCTCATGCATTGTTGATGTCCCAAATTCTCTTCATTCACCTTTCTAAAACGTAAAATCGATGAAACAAAGGACTTATTAAAACCCAATGATCGTTTAGATCAATTCATTTCTTAAAATCTTGAAAGGAATTGTTTTTCGAGGCATGGAATATTTTTTGTTTTAGAAAGGCCAGGGTTCTATTTCTTTTTATCTGACGAAGAATGCAAGTAGAAAAATTGCATTTATTTCAGGCATGGGCAACAAGTGCTATAAGAGCATTTCCATGCATTTGCCATAGCAAAGGGCAAGGGGAGGCAAGCAAAAATCAAGTTATGTTTCCACCCATTGCCATGGCAAAGGGCAATTATTATTCACTTAATTTTTATTTTTATTTTTCTTAAACGATTAATTTGGATAAGATTTTCGGTTGTCGCGTGTCAATATTTATTATAAAATTCACATATCATATTTCGGATAAAATTTTCGAATAAAATTTTCAGGTAAAATTTTGGTAGGTATTTATAGAAAAAAAAATTCAGAATTTTTGGGTATTTTTTATAAAAAAAATTTACACACAAATTGGCTGCCTTTGGATTGGACACCCCCGGAAGCTCCACGTGGCTTCTATTAGTTGGGGGGAAAGTAGGGCTGATGCTAGGCTGGCGTCAGTGCACGCGATTTTGAATTTTTTTTTACCTTCGCGTATGTGTCACACGGGAATGGTAAAAAAAAATCCGCTGACGCTAGATTCGCGTCAATAGCCTTCGGGCAATAGCACGGGCTCAATTTGCCTTTGGGCTTGCCTGGGTTGGTGGCCTCCACATGTTGCTCGGGCTGCTGCTGCGCACTGGAACCTCAAAACGAGCCTCATGCCATCTTTGCCGGGCTGGCCCGCAGTGTTGGAAGTTCTCTAAAAGAAAAACTTCTCATATGAAGAATAATCTAGTAAATAAATGCCATAATGATCAAATTAATGACATAGCCACCAAAAACCTGTGGCACTAACATAACAAATTTTCCTTTGTTGTTGATGAAGAGGGCAATGCCCAAGGAAACTCCTAGGAATTCACACCCTCATTTCAAATTTGGAAATCAAAAGCACCTCCTAACGTAAAAATTATAGCATGGAGGTGGGCTCATAGGAAGGTTAATACTTACGATAAAGTTCAAAATTGTGGTGGAAAGTGTGGATCATATCTTTACATGTGGAAGAACTGCAATCTCATGGCGCTCAACGAAACAAACGCTAGTAGCCACATCTTCCAATCACTCAAAAATACTTGCCTTTCATGAAGCCAATCGTGAATGCGTTTGGTTAAGGTCGGTGATCCATCACATCTGAAGCACATGTGCCCTACCCTCAGCAATGGACACTCCAACCATACTGAATGAGGACAATGCAGCTTATATCGTTCAAATCACAGGAGAATACATCAAGGGTGACAATAAGCACATATCACCAAAGTTTTTCTACACACATGAGCTTCAGAAGAGTCAAGAAATTAAAGTCAGACAAATTCATTCAAGCGATAACCTAGCATATCTCTTCACCAAATCTTTGCCAAATTTACATTCTAAAAGCTAGTGCATGGTATCGGATTACGTCAACTCTGCAAGCAATCAAATTGAAGCATGCAAAATCAGGGGGAGCAATCAAGAGTCCTCTAACACAGGACATATGTAACATGTACTTTTTTTCCTTCGGGTTTTTCCTAGCAAGGTTTTAACGAGGAAACATGAGTGCATTTAACATTATTCTTATGTCTCAAATAAAGTTGTACTATTTTTCATTCGCTAAGGTTTTTTCCTACTGGGTTTTTCCAAGTAAGGTTTTAATGAGGCAACCAATTAAGTGGTCTCCAAGGGGGAGTGTGGTAAAAGCTTTGTGTGGAGCCCACATGGTGGAAACATTCACATGCATGGTTACTATTGAAGTGAAAGTGCTATTCAATTTGCCTATAAATAGGCATCACTCTTGCTTTGCTAAAGATACCAACGGAGAAGAAAAAGAAGAAAGAAAGAGTGAGAGGAAAGAAAAGAGAGCGAGAAATCTGAGAGTTAGTGAGTTCTGTCTAAGAGGAAATTCTGTCAATGTAAACACCACAAGAGCAAATACCATTTTACTCTCAATATTCAGTGATACTTTTCATACTATGATTATTTTATAACAAGCTTTTATTTTTTTTGTTTCAAGGGAGTTTCTGTTCAATTTGTTTTTTATTTTCTATATTAATAAAAAATTATTTAGCTTTAAAGAATTAAAAAATTAAAAATCAATAAAATAAAATAAATTGAAAAACAGAAAAAACCTACCCAACAACATCCCCAAGCCGCACCAGCCGTCCCGCCCAGTTCCCACGACGCCCCTGGCCTCTGAACCAAACCCACCCGCCTTCTCTGCTGCCCACCCCCCTCTCTCTCTCACCAAACCCAACCCCCTTCACCCCCTCCCCTCTCTGCCCCTGTATGTTTCTCTCTCTCTCTCTCTCTCTCTCTCTCTCTCTCTCTCTCCTCCTCTGTGTCATCAAACCCAGCTCCTCAACAGCCCAGCAGCAACCTCCTCTCTGAGCTCTCACCACCCACGACTCCTCTCTCTATTCCGACCCGCCGCCGCCACTAACGACCTCCACCACCTCAATCTCCACTGCCAAACAACTTCTCTCTTACTCTCTCTCTTCTCTTTTAGTCCAGAGGTAAATATATATATATATATATATTTTCAGTTTTGTATTACTTTTTGGTATCATATTTATTGGATTACTAGAAGAAATAACCTCAGATATATATATATATATATATTTTATATTTCGAATTATTTGTTTTTCTATAAGAAGCAACCAGGCGCAGCTCTCTCTCTCTCTAACCTTTGAGTCAGTGGCTCCATGGATTACGATGGAGGCAAACTTAAGTCGACCTCCATCAATGGTGTCAAGATGTACAGCATTGCTTCCCAGCAACGCTCTCTCGCCACCTGGCTTGACCCTAAGAAGCGTCGAGCGCTTCGCAAAGATCAAAGTACAGCCCTCTTCTTCGCTAATTTCTTCCAGTTAGTTAATTTGGTTGTAATGGAGATAACTTTTGTTTATTTTATTTATGCTTTTGTTGACTTTACAGTAACTTCATGTGAATTTATTTCTGATTTTGAGGACTTTCGCTTGAATCTTCGCTTAAACCCTAGACTAATATCAACTTGTACTTCTACTGGGATACTTTGATTCTTCTCAGACTAGGTTTTGGGTGCTAATCATTAGGGTGGAATCTGTTAAGGATAAATTGCATACTACAGAGCAATACAATGTTGTTGTTTTTAAAAAATATTTGCTCGAGTTCTGAAGTATACTTTCCCAATAAAACTTATTTAAGGGAATGCATCATAACATATGCTTAATTTCTATGACTATGATCATTTAAGAGTTAGTCTGAGATGGAAATATGTTTTCAAAATCATTTCAAGCTGACACAAAACTTTTTGGCATCAATTTCATCTAATGGGAGTTCTGTCTTCATTGTTTATTTGTCAGATTATTTGCAAAGGGTGGACTTGATCCAAGACCTGAGATTTGAAACTGCAACTACTAAAATCAAGGCAACTCCTGACGGGGAGTTCGTAATTGCAGCAGGTGCCTTTAAGCTTTACTTTATGTTCTGTGTGGTATGGTAATTTTATTTTCACAATAAAAAGTTAATTCTACTTAAAATGTCTATTTGTGTGTCGTGGGTGTACTCGTATAGAGTAAAAACATTTGAACTTGTACCCACTGTGATTTTTACTATTGAAATTCAGGTATTTACCCACCACAAGTCAAAGTTTATGAGCTGAGGGAACTTTCACTCAAGTTTGAAAGGCACTTGGATTCAGAGATAATTGATTTTGAGGTAGTTCAGTTTTCACCATTTCAATTCATTTCTGATGTAAAATGATATTTGAAATATTTATTGATGGTCCATGGCTGATTTGTGTTCAGCGTCTGTCAGGTTTTTCAGTATTTTATCGGTGAAGTTGCTCCTCTCTAAATAATTTTCATATTTTTGAATTTTCAGTTACAATCGTTAACGTACACTCTTGCTTGCAATTACTTCTTTTTTTCTTTTTCACTTACCCTTAGCTCTAGCAATTTCAGTTAGTCTTTCTTGTAGAGTAAGGATAAGAGCATTTCTAAGGAATGTGATGAAGTTGAAAAAAAAGTTTATTAGTTAATAGATCTTACAAGAGTTTTATGTTTATTAATTAGCAAAGAAAAAAGCAATTGCACACCATCTTTTTTCCCCTTGTTCCAATATAGTTTCCTTCTGATTGGTACTGTTTTCTCCTTCCAAAATCCAAAATTTGTTCAAGTTTTGTAGTTGGTTTATAACTTAAGTGCCAATATTATAATTTGGATATCATCATTTCTTGTTTGCTCCTTAAAGGTGCCAATGTTATGCTGTATTTTCAATATGTTCTCATGGAACTTAAAATATTACTGACTCAACTTTTCGTTACACATTCAGGTTTTGGCTGGTGATTATTCAAAGCTTGCATTTTTATGTGCTGATCGTTCCGTTTATCTACATGCAAAATATGGAAAACATTACAGTGTGCGAATTCCAAGGTTACTCTTTATACATTGTTTATGTTAATGGCCATGAATGGAAATAGTGTTTAAACCATTTGGTTGCTTTATTAAACTTTGAACTCTATGATTCATTATGTACTGTGGTTACTCTTTTCTATTTCTGTTCCTTTTGGCTGTTATGTATTATTGGGTTGTTTGGTTAGAGAGTATACAGACGGATATTTGAGGATGTGAGGGGCGATGTGGTGGTTTATTTGTTGGAGAGGATTTGTTTTTGGGCATCTCCTTGGGTATTCATGTCATCAGAGTTTTGGGAGAGCTTATTTTCTGTTATTTTTTTCATAGATTGGAACACTGTTGTTTCTGAATGCCTTCGGTTGTTGTATTAGATTCAATTTCCTATAAAAACAAAGACAAAACAAGAGGGAAAATTGGATACAGAATGAGTAACTTTATGCGTGTGTGTGGATATATATATAAAAGGGGAGTTTACATCTGCTTGCTTGCGTGTGTAAATGTATTTTTGAATCATTTTCAACCTATAATACACCACAAAATGACAGCGCCCTTTATTGTATCAATAAAAATATGAATGATGTTGTTTTCACACATTTATTATTTACAAATGGGCCCACAATAATTCAGAATCTTCTCCCTTTTGGGGCGTCATGTTTCCACCATCTCTATCATTGAATGAGTTGATTGAATCACCAACCCATTAAAAAACCACCAACCTCTTAGAAATGTGGAAAGGTAAGTAACTAAATACATAACCTGGAGGGGCACTATATCTCTTTTCTGAATTCTGTTTTCTATTTTTTCTTGAGTATTTGTTGACCCTCTTTCTCTCTAATCAAATCATATTTTTCCCCTTTAATGTTACCCACGTTAAGAGTTTTCATTAAATTGTTTTCTAAAACTAGATGGCACCAATACAGTAATGAAATACTTGAGCAACTACATTACTTTAGAACTAAAGTTTAGTACCTCTAGCATTTACCCAAGTCGCTTTTGTTTTAGCCCTCTTTTGCAATGTACGAATTAAACTTTTATCCTTACATTTCGAAAATTTATTTCCTTTACGTAAAAAGATAAAATAATAAAATAACTTAATTTATTCACAATTAGAATTATGTTTATAATTTAAAAGATAGTCAAGATTGTATATCTTGTGTAATTTAGATTCAGTTTTATCTAGTTTGTAATTTAGATTAATACTTGCACAATGCATGGGTTGTAGCTTGAATAAGTTTGATATTCTTTCTGCAATGAGTTTATTGAACTTGTGTATACAGAATGGGACGGGACATTGCATATGATTGCTGGTCTTGTGACTTGCTTTGTGCTGCCTCTTCCCCAGAATTGTACAGGATTAATCTGGAACAGGTTTTATTGCTTAACTGGAATTTTCTATTTAATCTCCTTTAATTCATAGGTATGTTGATAATGATTTTGACTTGTTTGCAGGGGCGGTTTCTCTCTTCCCTGAGCACACAATCAGCGGCACTAAATGTAGTTTCTCGGAGGTTGCTTGTTGATCCTTTTTTTTTACTAGTTTAGTTTCTTTTTCTTCTTTAGTTATCAGATATATGTAGGATTTCATTATATTTGGTAATTTTTGGTTAATTATCTAAGCGTAAGGAGATTTTCTATTAAATTTCAGCCAGCTTCACGGTCTAGTTGCTTGTGGTGGTGAGGATGGTGCTGTGGAATGTTTTGACTTGAGGTCGAAATCCTCGGTTGGTAGGATTAATGCTGTGGCACCTGCTGGTGACATTGACCAGGTAACAGTCCTTTGATCTATTTGTTTTGAGTAAATATTCGTTAATGAAGACAGGAAGAAGTCTTGCCACAATGTACTCAATGTCATGGATTAAGATGTGTGGAAGAATTATGGCATGCAACCTCGGTTTGAGCTGAAGTACCTTGCTGTATAAAATGCTATTTTAATTGGCAAATCCATCACCCTTTGAAGTTCAAATTATTTTCAAATACTATGTTGGTCAGCTGTAGGATATGCATGTGTCTATTGTGGTTGTCTGGATAATTTGGCCATGATACAAATGCCAATTTGTTTCCTATGCTTTTGAAAGATGTAACTATGGGTATGTTTGGTAGTATGGTTTTACAAGTTCAGCAGATATCACGCTGACCAACCTTGTTGATTTTGATGTACTTGAAACTGTAGAGTTATACCCCAAAAAACAAAAGGAACTCACCAATCCAAACCAATAACCATCAGTTTGAATTGGTTTTGTATCTTGGTTTTAGGTGGTAAAAAAAGAATCCTTCAGTTTTGTTCTATTTCACCTAGACAACAGCAGACCTTTTTATTTTATTTTTATATTCATGAAAATTTCAAAAAGACTGTGTTATCAATCACATTGCTCCAATCAAAGTTAATTCAAAACTAGTTCAAATCCAAGAGTTTTAGATTCCATAATGTCAATGTTTAATCACAAGGCTTTGTTGTGGTAGTTTGACAAGAGCACAGTGAAAATGAGGGCCTTATGACCTTCTTAGCATCAGTTTTCCTCTTTCATTTTTTATATTGTCTCAATTGTTCCTTATCTTTTTTGAAAATGGAAATAAAAGAAGTGGGTTGAATGATCTGGCTGGTTCATCAGTTCAGTCACAGATGAATGTCAGGGGAATAAAGTTGTATGTGGGATTCCTGTGAATGATGATCCTTTCTCATCAACTATTAATCTGACACAATTATCCTTAATCTGGCTGCCTCCTGGATTTGCAGGAGGTCACTGCATTGGAATTTGATGAAAAAACGGGTTTTCTAATGGCTGTTGGAAGCAGTGCAGGGAAGGTATGATGTCATTTTTCTTTTCGCTAGTAAAAAAATCTGTAATTTGTATATTTTTTATTTGCTGATATAGCTGTGATCTCATTTTAGTTATGTGTGTTATCAGAACTAGGTACCATGTTTTTTTTTATTGTCAACCATGCAATAATTGTAGTTTTCGTCAATTTTTGATTTTCAATTTTAGAAAATTCTCTTGGATTATACACTTGATAGGTACCGTATATCTGTATCTGCATGCATAGATTTTACACTTAACAACCATAAAAATGTTTGAGACAGCCTCTTGTTTTCCATGACGGATACATAGAGGGTCAAAATTTAAGGTACTTGACAGGCTCAATTAAGCTAGTGGCTCATGGAAGGGTGACAAATACTGTTTGAAGTGAAAAATGAAACTGCCAGCCAACTTGGGAGCTAATCAAAACTGTTTGTCAAATTACCAACAATTTTGCAGACTTTACTCTTATGGAGAAGTCATGTGAATTGTATTCTTTATGTCAACGAGGGGGGTATTTTAATTGTCGTATTTATGTCCCACTGTTACTGGCACCTTAGTGCGTAATCATTTGTCCAAATAGAAATGGTTTTAACGTGGTGGGGGGATGGTTTTCCCTTGGCTACAATGTTATTAATGAAGTGGAAACAAGGTTTTTAAAGATATCTAATATAAAAAAAAGAGGTAGTCAAGATAAGAGATAACTGGGATCAACCATCAGGTAGGTGGTGATTTACATGGTTCATTTGGTGATGCAGTAGATTACAGGTTTATGGTCATTTTGTGGAGATTGACTGAGTGCCTTGTTGGAGGATGTGGTGATTAAAAAAACCCTTTGGGGGTAGTCTCATGAACTTATAACTGAAGAAAAGATAGAGGGATGAGGACTAGGATATATGGATCTCTTTGGGCAATAATATGTTGTGAATGTAGGCTACACAGAGCTGATTCAAGGGCTTGGAGATTGAATGAACAGGGACTTTCTTTTGAAAATCCTGTTTTTAGATATCTTTGTTAGGGATGACAGTCTCAATTTGTGTTCCAGAGTTATAAATGGTCATTTACTATTATTTGAAATGTTACATATATAATTGTAACTATCCATAAGTTCTCTGAGAGCTGCAGTATCACCGAATCATATTGTACTGCGAATCCCGTACCCGTATCCGTGCAATATAGGTTGGCACAATCACTTCTTTCACCTTCAGTTGGAGTCTTGAATAGAGCCTCTGTGAAGAATATGTCAGAGTTGTGCCCAATCTTTCAAAAAGAATGTAGCTCTGTCAATTTACATTTTAGTTGCTATTGATTGAATCTACATCCTTTTACTATTCCATGCATAGAAATATAATTTCAATCGTGTCATTGAACTGGCAGGTACTCATTTATGACTTGCGCTCATCACATCCTATACAGGTTAAGGATCACATGTGAGCGACTTCCTTATAACTTACATGTGAATTTCTTATTATGTGGTTTTTCTGGTTGAGCCCAATGAGGGAGTCTGTTTTTCCTTTTACAACTTTCTGGTTGTTGAGAATACTGTCATTGGTTTATAGGTATGGCAGCCCGATATTAGACATTAAGTGGCATCAAACTCTTAATTCTGAGGCGCCAAAGTTAATGACCACTGATAATCACATTGTTAGAATATGGGATCCTGACACGGTAAGACATTATATTTGAGAAGACAATTTTTTTTTTGGAAAACAATTGTTTTCTTTGATGATTATATATTAGAATTCTGTATTTATAAATAAATATATGTTACGTTTTTCCTTTGTTGCAGGGTGAAGGCATGACCAGCATTGAGCCAACAGCTGGAACAATTAATGATATATGTGCATTTCCTGGGAGTGGATTGATGTTGCTGGCTCTAGACTGTAGTCAGATTCCATCTTATTTCATCCCTGATCTTGGACCTGCACCCAATTGGTGTTCTGAACTCCAAAACCTTACTGTGGGTTTTCAGATGTTATTTACTTACTCCGTATATGGATTTAGTTTCATTTTGTGTGAGGTCGTCAGTTATAGTGCTAATGTTTGACTTCTTTCTACAGGAAGAGCTAGAGGAGGGTGGACAGACAACCATCTATGATGATTTCAAATTTTTGACAAAAGAAGACCTTGAGAGGTTGAAGTTGACTGGTCTCATTGGGACCAATCTCCTTAGAGCCTACATGCATGGGTTTTTTATTGATTATCGGTTGTATAAAAAGGTTAGGCTGCCTTCCTTTGTAGTATAATTATTTTTATGAAGGGTGCAATGGCTGTTTTGTGAAACAAAATAATCCGTATCATCCAGTTTAGAATGGTTGGATTGGTTTCAGAAAGCGGGGAACAATAATCTGTATTAGGCTTTTTACCTTTATTTTATAATTACTTTTCTCTTGCCCTTTCAAGACTCTTATCTGTTTCTATTGTTTTGTGGTTTTTTTTGTTGGTTATAATTGTTTTTTGAAATGCATGGTTTTGGCCGTTTTAGGATTTAGTGAGTTCTCGGGCTGGCGGTTTTAGGATTTAGTGAGTTCTTGGGTGTGTTTTTTAAGTTGTCTGTCTTGAAAGATGCATATCTTCATAGTCAAAGATGATGTTTTCCGTGCTTGAGTATGGTGTTTGTTCAATTGCTTCTGATTATTTACAAAGTTTGCTGCTTTATTTGATAGTATTTACATTCTGGCAGGCAAAAGCTTTGGCAGAGCCTTTTGATTATTCTGAATACATTGAACAACGTAAAGGAGAGAAGCTAGAGAAAGAACGTGCACAGCGAATTACGGTTAATTATTTTCATCTACATTATTTATTATTTATATAGATTTTTTATTTATTTGTTCAATTACTCTGCATTTATCACTATGTGCAGCTCTTAAGAAATTTCTGTTATGACCGAGGCAATTGCAATAAAGTGTATGAGGATTTGTGAGCCTGAATGTTCTAGTTTCCTCAATTCCCCATATTATTTGCATATGCGAATATGTATATATTTATTTTGAGGCAGGGTGGTTTTCGAATAATTGTTGGAAAACTTGGTATTCTCCTCAAAGTAGTTTGACTAGGCATGAGTTGTGTTCTGCCACTTCACCCTATACATTGTAAACATATCTTCTTTCATTTCAGGGTGTCCCTCAAATAAGCTTATTTGAGGGATCTCTCAACTGAAGCTATACAGTTATTATCTCATTACTGTTCGACCAGAGCAAACTTTGACCCTTATCTGCTCCCTTTTTCAGTTTTATTTTTGGTTCAGTTTCCAGAATGTCTGAATTTACGACTCTAGTTATCCCCGGAGCCCCCAAGATATCTCTGAATACTTTTAAATCCAAATTAATCCTTTGCTTTGAGGTGCTCTCATAAATTTTAAAGAGAACTGACCCTTTTGTATTTCAATGCAATATGAGTGGGATTCAACTGTTAAATTTTGGGGGTTTTGAATCTCCTTTAGGGGATTGCGGGATTGTAGAGTGAATTATATGGCTATGGACTTTAGTTTGTGGTAGATTTATGTCATGTCAGATTATCTTCTTGAGACTGATTACTATATCTTTTATATGCTGTACTTTTCTTTGCTGTAGATTAAGAGGAAATTACCCAAGGTCAATCGGACTCTTGCAAAGAGTATTCTTGATAATGAAGATGCAGAGAATGAAATTAAAGGTGCTGATAGCAACGAGACTAAGAAGCTGTCAAAGAAAAAGAAGGCACTTGGTAGTGAAATTCTCAAGGACGAGCGATTCGGAAATATGTTTGAAAATAAGGTATGAAAATCTGAACCTTTGGCTCCTGTACAATTTAACCCAAAAATTTGTTCAAGTAGTTCACCATCCCTTTCTATAAATTTTAATTTAAAAAAAGAAGAAGAAATAAACACAAAAGAATTCTTCATCCCTCTCCTCCCCTCCCCCTTCCACCTCCTTTGCCTCCCTTTCCTCCCTTCTGTCTCCTTTCCCTGGTAATGGCCTCTTTTTACCCAACTTTTCTCTAAAGAGTTTGTTCATTTATGTGATTATAGCATGAAATCCACTGGATGTTTGTTGAGCTTATTACTAGTTACAACATAAAGAGCCTATGCATTTAAGTGTCAGTAATGTCTTCTGATGGTGGTTTGATGCTAAAAGAAAAAAATGCATCTTCCCCGTTGCCTCCCCATTATTGAAGCCGGTCATCTCCATCCGACACCTATCCTTGTCCCCAATACCTTCATGTTCTTGATTATTATCAGAAGATTCTAAGGGTCTCGAAACTCCTAAGTGACATCGATGGAACCTGTCATCCTTTCTGGTTGTTGAATGGGTCACCCATCAGTGGACTGATTCATTGCTGTTCTTTCCTTGCCATGTGTTCTTCCCATCCATTCCCATGCTTTCAATGGCATGGTGGATGTGAGGCATTTTGTTACCTCACAGCCGAGTAAATCTCAAGTCATTGATGTGTAAGCTGTTTGACACTTAAAATATTTTGAATTATAAATGTATAAATATATTTAACAAATAGAAGAGGACCACTGTTCAAGTGCAGAATGTGCAAAAATGCATTGGCTGACTTGCTGGTCAATCGGCAACCACATTTTTTTGTGAGGATATATGAATTGGAGATTCCTTATTATGTCACTTTCCCCCAGTTTTGGTAGGAGTTTCTTGTCGCATAATGCATCCATAACTTGTATGTCTGTCATGTAACTCTAGTTCCCTTCATAGCTGATATTGACGGCTAAAGTCCTTTGCTAGGTAAACTTTTTTCGCTTGGACTGTTGTCCATGGTATAGTTAAAATACTTGCAAGTCCTACAATGGAAAAAGGGCTTGCATCTGTCTCTTATTCGCCATTGCTGCAACATGTGTAAAGTGCAAGCGAAGTATTGATCACATTTTTTCCTTCCAAGTTCTATGCGTTGAGACCGTTGAGACTGTTTTATAAGCTCTTTAGGTAGCTAGATTGAGTTGGGTGGTTCCTCTTCTTGTGACCATTCATGGAGGGGTTTGGTGGAGGGAAAAACGCAAAGGTTTTGTAGTGTTAAAGAAATTCTGCTGGGTTTTTTGGTTGGGAACGAACAGTTAAATTTTCAGGAGTAAAGAAGGGAAGGCAGTAGACTACTTGTATGCGACTATGGCCAGATTGTGGGCCTGACTCTGTTTGGTTGTGTTGCATTATCGCTTGCTTGGCTGGCTGGTTGTTTTGCTGGTTAGCTCATTGTTTTTCAGGCTTCCACTGCTTAAACTGTTTCATTGCTTTTTAGTTTAGTGGACTGCGGTGTCATTTTCTGTATTAGCTCCATTTCTGTTTATTACATCTTATTAGTTTCCTACAAAATGAAAATAAATAAATAAATAATGAGAAGTCTGGGCCGAATCGTGTTTTATTTTTTTTTGGGTTGAACAGTTTTTTATATTGATTCATTTTTGTGATTTGTGTTCAGGATTATCAAATTGATGAGTTTTCGCAAGAGTATGTGGCTTTACACCCTATGCCTTCTAAGAAGCAACCATCGTTGGTGGATGAACATTTCAGACCTGCCATGGAGGATGAATATCAGAACTTAAGTGATTCTGATGCCTCCACAACATCTTTGTCATCAGAACCTGGCCATGAAAAGAGTAAAATGAGAAAGAAAGGACGAACTCCAAGGTAAAGATTTCTGGTTCCTTTGCCGACACTCTATTGTCCTGTTTATTTATCTGCTACAATTTACATTACTTCCATGTCCCTGAGTTTTCGTGGAAGTTCAAGTATCTCCCTCTTATGTTTAGAAGTTATACTATCCTGTCCCCTACAAGGAGATTTCACAATACATTTTAGTTTTGAGGGAAATTTCACTTCAGGAGTGGGTTTCGATCATACAAGTGTTTGCTTTTGGGGTAGAAATATCAGTTGATCTGTAAAAGTTTTCCGAGTGTCCATGACAACTAGATTAAAGTTATTGGTTTGCCTGATAAACCTTTTGAGCTTAGTTACCAATATAGGAGTCTAAAAGACAAAAAATGTGAACATAAGACAATACAAAACTGTATTAAAGAAAATTGTATGTTCTCTATGAGAGGGGAGGTCAGTGTAATTCTGGAAAATAGAATATTGAAAACTGAAGGGATGTCTGGGAATTTTGAATAAAACCTTAGGAGGTCAGCATAATTTACTCGGATCAATTAATGGATCTGTCAGACATGAGCAACTTTTGCTAGATTTGGTGATTTGAACGCCAACCTGATTTGTCTATTTTCCGGTGAACTGTTTCTTTGTAATTCTGCGTATTTATGTATAGAGTTTTGATTCAAATCTTGAAATGTCTGTTCGAGCTTAAAACTCTAAATCTGAGTTACTAAATCTCTGTTTATTGAAATCCTATTAGATTGTATGAAGTCAAGGATGAGCGGCATGCAGAAGCATTCTTAAATCGTGAGTCATTTGCAAAGGAGGAATTACTTCCATTGGGCGAGAGGGTAGCAGCTCTCAGAGATGATTGGCAGGTTTCTGCTATCCCAAGTGATGTTAAGCTGGGACCCGGAGGTTCACGTGAGATTTCCTTTAGAGCTAGAAGCTCTGCTAAGTACAAAGAGGACAAGGAGGATGAAGAAGCACAGCGTGGAAAGAGGAGGGGAGTTCAATCATTAGGACTAAAACAAAATAATAACGGATTTGGAAGTCGAGGGAGAGGAGGCAGGGGAGGTAGAGGAGGCAGAGGAGGGAGAGGCGGCAGAGGGAGAGGAGGGCATCGCGGGAGAGGTAGAAGTGGTGGCTGGTAAATTATTTCCAATCCATTTATGCATGCATCACTTTGTTTATTGTCTTCTATCTTTGGCCCCTCCATTGACAGTTCAACCAAAGATGTTTTCAATACAGAGCGATAGTCGAGTGCATTTAAACAACTTAATGATCCAGGGGAGGATTTATGTTGAGTTGCGCCATTTTTGTTGTCGTTTTTTTTAACCGGCCTTTATACAGAGCGACGTTCTCCTTTTTGTTGTTGAGATAGTAAATTGAGGGTAGGGGAAGCTACAATGAGGTACAACGGCTATTTAGCGGCTTGCAGAATGCAGAGGAAATGAAGCTGTATATTGGAATTGTATTTTATATTATATTATCAACTTAACTTATTCAAAATATTGTAAACTGATAGTGGGCAACAGTACTGACGTTAACCAGAACCTGGAATTGGGTTATGGTTCTTTTCTGTTTATCATTTCAACTAGTCCTGTTGTGACCAGGGAAAACAATGGTCACCTGCTGTTAGATTTGATCCATCGGTAACTTTTGATCAGTGCCTCAATATAAGAAAACTAATGCCCGAAAAACAATTAAGGAGATGTTTGGTATTGTATTCAAGTAAGGAATTCAATGATTTTTATTTTTCTTTAACACAAGGAGTTTTAAAATTCTTTCGTTAACCTGTTTTTTTTTTTTTTTTTTTTTTTTTTTTTTTTTTTTTTTGTTTTTGATTCCTTTTTTGATGATTCTTTTTGATATATTCTATTTAAACTTCTAACTTCAAAAAACATAATTTGGGTCCAAAGCCAAAATAATCTTCTATATGGTAGGCCCAATTAATAAATACATTATATATATATATATATCAATTTTTTTTAAGGTTTTTTTAGGTTTTAGACATAAAAAAAATTTCACTTTTGGAAAAAGCCAAAGCTTTTTTAAAAAAGATAAAAAAACCGCTCAACTTTCAAATCAAAGACATGCAAATGTATTGGATTCCTTAGGAAATCTAAAAATAAATAAGGGCATTTTTGTCCATTTTTGCTTCTTTTAAAATTTTTCTCTCCTTTTGCTTTTTCCAAAATGTTCCATTTTTTTATTGGTTTTTTTTTCTTCTTGAAATAGCTTTCAAGTTACATACTAAATAATAGAGTTATACATCGGTTCGAAACTAATATAATTTAGTCCATTTGCATTTGATCCAATATAAATTGGATTGAAATTTTTTCAATCCAATCCAATTATATTAGATGTTTAAAACATATCCGATCCGATCCAATTGATATGGTATTGGATTGGATTGGATGATCGGTTTTGATAATGAAAAAAGACAATAATGAAATATTAAACATTTGTTCTTAAGTTTAATCTAATTGAACATATTAGTAAACGTAAATGTAAAATATAAATGAAAAACTATAAATGGATCCGATCCGATCCAATTAATATGGTATTGGATTGGATTGGATGATCGGTTTTGATAATGAAAAAAGACAATAATGAAATATTGAACATTTGTTCTTAAGTTTAATCTAATTGAACATATTAGTAAACGTAAATGTAAAATATAAATGAAAAACTATAAATAAATAAAAATGTTTTGATTATATAATATATTAAACATAACTTCATTAAATGACTTAAAATATTCATAACTTTTTCAACTACATATACCTACAAAAGCAAAATAAGCATAAAACTAACTAGATTGGATTTGATTGGATTCTCATAAGCAAATCTGTCATCCGATCCAATCATGTCAGTTTTGAAAATTACGGATCCAATACAATCCACCAAATCATCAAAACCGAAAGAAATTGAATTGGATTAGATTGGATTGAATCGATCGATTTGGAAGGATTGGATCTTAAAACATGAATTTTAGAACTCCTTATTTTTAAGAAAAATAAAAATAATTGAATTCCCAACTTCAATAGGATACCAAACAAGTTTAATACCTAACCATGCCAATCTCTCACCGTCGCTCATGTCTGCCCTTTCATTGTCCAAAAAAGCATTCCTCCTCTTCTGAAGAGCTATGTTAATATGAAGTAAAAGTTTTTCTCTTCTTAATTTTTTGGTTTTATGTTTCCTAATTTCTTTTCCCACAAGGTACAAAACTACTTGGGTTTTCAGTAATGGTATTAACATCATCAAAATGTGTAAAATTGAAAATACAAAAAACAAAACAATGATTTTTTTCTTGCCATATCTTGGAAAACTGTTGAGGCAACCATAATAAATTTGAAAAAAAAAAGGAAATTGTGAAAATTGTACAACACAGTAAAGGATTCCTTGCCAATTGGAGTACAAGACATCAGGAAAGGAGATTATTTAAAGAAAAACTAAATTGCTACTTGAAGAAAAATTTATGGCTTTAGTTGAGGAATGAAAAACCCAAAGGAAATTTGTTCATACCTAAATTTGGTTCAACAACAAGATGATCTCTTCGACATCGAGGTCGACAATCTTTCCAAATCAACTTGGCATGACCAAGCATATGGTCCCTTAGAAAGAGTTTTAGTGCTTAGGGATTGCAACTTGTAAATAGAGATTAAGTGAAAACATGCGATCACACTACATGAGAGATTTACGTGGTTTACCCATAATTGGGCTACGTCCAAGGAGTGTTGGGTATTTGCACTATGGAATGAAGAAAGTGTTGTGCGGAAGCGTCACCCAATACATGCAAAACTATGAGTGCAAACAAATGTAACAATAGGCAAGAAACAAAGAGAGCAAATCAAACAACAAGAACACCAAGATTTAGTTATCAAGCTTTAATGATTTGCGCTTAAATATCTTAACTTCTAATCAAGCCATTGTGCTCTGAGTGGGGAATTGGCTTAAATTAGTTCTTTTAATGCCTTGTATGACTAAGGACTTCAAAATTCTATTTGTGCGCACTGGTGCACAGGAGTTCCTTAAGGTTTTGCCCTAGATCAGGCTAAAAACATCAAGATAGGGCTAAGAAACCCTAGATCAGACTAAAAAAGTTGATTGCTGATTCTGGTGTTTTATGGTTTGATATTGACTGAAACAAGTGAAAAATGATAAATGAACACTTTATAAACTTAAATGCAATCAAAAAGAAATCTTTAGAACTGAATATTTCTCGATTTAATTCATTACAAAAAGAATTGAAAGGGAAACAAACTGGTAAATAGATAAACCAGTTTACTAACGAATTGATACAAGAAAAATAAAAAATCCTAGCAACTAGGACATCAATATCAATTGTTGACAGAGCAATAAACTTAAAAGATAACTCAGGAGTTGTCAACCAAATATCTTGATACAGAGGAAAGTAATTGAGTTCAATGAGATCAAGTGTTGATTGAGTGTGAAGTCTTTTTCTGGGAGAATATTTGTGTCTTTTGAGAGTTGGGTTCTTTTTCTATTTACATGCTCCTTGGTTCTTGAATTCTCACACTTGGTGAGGAGATGATTGAGTTTGTTGTCAGTCTTTTCTTTGTGGGTTAAACAAGTGAACTTGAGTGCTTTGATCCTTGCACTGACGGTGAACTGCCCAAGTGTTGAGGCCCAAAAAATCATGGGAAGCCCAAAGATATTTAAAGCCCAATATAACATATAATTACGGTCATGCATTAATCTAAGCTGTATTTTGGGATTTAATTCCTTAAATAAATATAGAAATAGTGAACATGCCATGCCAAACTAATAATACATTTTTCCCATGCCAATCACCTATCAAGGTCATATGAACCCAAGTCATGTGGTTTAAGGGGCTTGCATGAGGGTTGTGGTGTGGAAGGTTACGGAGGTCCACAAGGCCCACGGAAACTCTTAGATAATGGAGACTTTGGGCTAGCTACTTGGGAGCACCAAAGTCCAAACCCATTACTTAGAGTTCTCCAATGTGGATGAGCATATGAGATATTTTTCAAGCACTTCCTTTTACCCATAGGAAATAGTCATTTTCCAAATACCTAGCTTTACCTGTTGGAAACAAGCCTTTTCCAGCACTTCCTATTACCCACTGAAAACAAGCAGTTTCCAGTGCTTCCTTTTACCCATATGAAATAATCAGTTTATGGTACCTAGCTTTACCTGCTGGAAAATAGCATGCCCCATTTCTCCCTTTAACCACTGGAAATAGGTTGGTTCCAACATCTCCTTTTACCTATTGGAAATAAAGGAAAACCCTCACCCTCTATAAATTGGCATTCATGGCTCAAGCAAAGGGCACCAATTTTTCTTCAGCCAACACTCCCTCACTCAATTGTTGCAAGCATCCCAACAGCCATCAACCTCCTCCAGCAACTACCAGACCACTTGCCTTTCTCCATTCAGCTACTGCAAGCATTCCAGCGGCCATCCCAGCCATTCCTTAGCTATCAAAACCATTTCTTCTATTTTCCCATCCTTGAAATCCTCCATTTTCCTTATAAAGCCTCACAAATCATAACTTCAAGCCTTTCCTTCCCTCTCATACCCTTCCAAGCTATAAACACCATAGCTTTCAAGCCTCAAGCTTTTCCTTTTATCCTCCCACCTCTAGAACTCATAAATTTCTCTAGAATCATTGTCATAAACACCATACCCTTCAAAGTCTTAAGCTTTTCTTTCCTCAGCCATGCTCTTTGAAACCCCATTCATTTGACAGCTATAAGCATCCCAACAACCATCACAGCCAAACAATCAAACCATTATAGCCATAGCTTCAAACAATAAATTCTCAACACCCAAACTCAAGCATATCAAACACCAACACAAGCACAAGCATTCTCATTTGCTAAACTTGTGGGTCTTTAGCTCCCATACTCCAAGCTCTTATGCAAGCTCATATAATCTCAGATCAACATCAGCAAGTCATCTTCAACTCAGCCAGAGCAAGCAACATCCTTACTCATTGCTAGAAGCTTCAATCTCAAGCCGTGTTCTTCCATATTCTTCCTCTCCCTCCCACAAACACATCCAGAGAGAGTAAGCATCACCACTCACCTCTGGAACCCTTCAATTTCAAGCTCTGTTATTCCATTTCTTCCCTTTTTTTCTCTTATGGCAAGCCATCCAAGAGCCTAACAAAGCTTTCGTCAAGCTGCTGGAAACCTACTTAAGCCACCCATATCTTTTCTCTCTCTCTCTCTCTCTCTCTCTCTCTCTCTCTCTCTCTCAAAAAGCTCCATCTTATATCTGAAACACCTAACCTCTCATGCCTAGTCTAGTATTATCTTAATTCACAAAGCAAACTCTCATGCCAAGTCTGTGTAACATCAATGCACCATCTTCAACTCTTCGTCAAGCTGCCGGAAACATCCTCACAAAACTCTTCGTCAAGCTGTCGAAAACATGCGCACAAAACACGCAGTCGCTGGAAGAAGAATAAAGTACTCCCCCGGGACTTGCTTTTCCCTCGAGATACTTTGGGCCTAATTCTCGCTAACTCAGAAAAAGGGGCAACGAATGCTTGATTTGCCACTCTATGGTGGTCCAACAATCAACAAGCCCGGATGAGCCTTCCGACGGAAAAAGACCCCAACACCAAGCATTGCTTTATTATTATTTTTTTCCAAGCCCAAGCATGGCTTTATTTAACAAGTTGGCTTAATAGAGACTCAAGGTTCAAATCGCATTTGATGCAGTTGCTCAGGCTTTATTTTTCAGTTTGACTCCATTCCAGCTGTTAAAGTCAACTTGAGCTTCGATTTGGGGTATTTGCACATTTACCCGGTTAAAAATATTTTCAAATTTGAGAACGACAACTTTTATTCGATATGTCAAAGTTACTGTCCTGGTTTGACTTTAGGCCTTTGCTCCCTTTAATCTTTTAAGAAATTCAGTGGCTCAAGGTCCATTTGGGCTTAAAAAATCCCTTAATAGGTCGTTTTCCATTTTAGGCCCAAACACATGCTATTGCAAAACAACATTAGCCAAACTGAGTCGTTCTATGGGGTGAGGGTGCCATATATGAACAATAGATATGGACCTTCATATTAGCCATATGATTCATCTGAATAGTAACTTCACTTAAGTTTAATGAAATGATCATGTGGCTAATATGAAAATCCACATGAGGAGTTTATATATAGTACCCTCATGTGGCACCCTCACTATAGAATTTCGCTAGCCAAACTATCTTGTATTAAGTGAAATTTAAGAAATGTCTATTAAAGGCTGGATGCCACAGAGGGAGGTTCATAATAGTTTTATTCTTTCTAATTTTTATTTTATCAATTGAGATTAGTAGAGTTTATCATTTAAGACGTCTATAAATATTAAGGGGAAAATACTTTCTTCCTACTTAACTTCTGTTAATATTAAGAGGAAAATACTTTCCTCCTACTTAACTTCTGTCCATATTAAGAGGAAAATACTTTTCTTCTTCCATATAATTAGGAAGTCCTACAATCCTACCAATTTTAATATGACATGTGTATAGAAGTTTTTAATTTTGTGTTTTTGATAAATTGTTTTTGCACAAGTGTCAAACTATGATTTGTGGTTAGGAGTATCCCAAAAAAAGTATTATTAAATGAGAGCTAGTTAATAACACTTTGGATTCCGAATACTTGGCAAGCAAAAACTTGATACATTGTATCTAAATAGGAAATTTTCTCCATAACCCAAAAAAGAAAAAAAAGGACAAGAAAGAGTATAAACAGCTTCCACAAAAGTAACCAGTCATGATACTAAAAGACTCACCAATTTGTGCCATGTGAATGATTGTGGGTTTGAGAACTTTGTCTTTGTTTGAACAATAATCAGCTTAGTTGAACAACGCTTTGTTACTTTTTAATCAACCAATCCAAACGCAAACAATAGCATTCAGTGCCTTTCTTGACCTCCTTAATTTTTTTTGGTCGAATCTCCCCTTAATTATGTTGTGGAAAACCTTAGAACTTTAGGGACTTTGTAGGTTGGAATTTTTGTTTTGTTCTCCTTTTAACTTTAACTTATGTCTTTGATTTTGTTGTGTTTGTGGATAAATTGACTTGTAAAAAGGAAAGATTGAATAATAGGAATCACAGCAGATTACACAAAGGTTCTCTAAAAATGTAATAACTCCGATTACAAACTTTTTTTTTCTTTTTTCAGCACAAGCGATTGGTGAAAGAAAACAACTCAAGAAGGAAGACGGAAGATGAGAGATAGAAGTATAGAGCAACTGAACTGACCAAGATGATTCTGGTCTCTGTTTTACAGCCGTATACATCATGTACAGGAGGTAAGACTTTCTCAAGTCTAGCATTAATCTCATATATGTCAGAATAAATTACAAATCAATTCTTAGAGGATACGCCGCTGATCTTGTGATGATGAGTCTATCAATGCTGATTTGGGGGGATCAACTGATTTCATGGGATTAGCTGTGGTGGTGTTTTCTTTAATTGGGAAAGGTGAGTTTACATGCAAATATTCATTGGGCGCCTGGATGTTTCGAAAAATCTATCCACATTAGTGAAGGTGGAAGAATTCAACCAAAATTTAAAAAGGCATCCACCACCGAATTAGCTCCCCTAAACATATGCCGCAAAGCATAAGAAGTATCTGCTAGAAGTTGTCGAATATCCCAAACTGCAGAAATAAGTCGCTGAGGAAGGGGTAGCTTTTTCGGCACTTGTGTTTTAGGTATGTGCAGTGCACTCCCAAAGTGGTAAAAAAAGGAGTGTTTGAATAATATTTCAACAAAGAACAACTACAACTTGTATTTTCTTTTATATTTATTCTTTTTGGGCACTGCGGGCTTTCTACGGAAGGGTTTTCTGCAGCCCTTTTAGTAAAAATCCTACACTCCAGTGTCTGAACACAGGATGCTTTTTTTCCTTTTCATATGACCGCTTAACAACTCATTCATTCTTTTGAAAGATTCTGTGCTTTTCTCAATTTTCCCCGAAAAAGTAACTATCTATATATTATCACAAAAGCTGAGGAGGGACTTAGCTAATAGTAACCGACTTTGCAAAACAAATACATAAATAAAAGAGCAGTGCCAATTAAAATTCGCGACATTTCACACAAGCGATAGTTTAAACAACTCTAAAGTGTAAGGGGGCGTGCTCATTTCCCGGCTTTTGTACTTGAAACAAAATTATAAAGTGTGTGAAAATAAAAATGGATTGAAATAGCGCAACTATATACTTTTAACTCTACTTTAAAGAGGACGTGCAACACAATTTGCCCCCTGATGTAGGCTTTAAAGAAAGAGAAAGGCTTTCCGCCTGATGTAGCAACACAATTTGGAAATGAAAATAAAAAAAACATTTGGAGGCACAATTTATTACTCTCTATGCTATTAAATTTATTTTTAATGCAGTTAATTACTCTTGCCTAACTGAAAATGTAAAATAAATTCCATAAAACAGAAATTAATGAGAATAATAGTGATGTCACGTACCTAAAAAGATAATCGAAAGCGAAAGCAAAATCTTGTAGTGGAAATTGGAATAATTACCAACTTTATCGATCCAACAATTAGACGAGGATACATACGATATTCTACTTTAATCTAATCTAAAGTACGGGGAAAAAAAATCATAAAAGAAAAGCACAGCAATGAAAGAGAAAACAAGAAACCAAAACTATTTCCCTTACATCCAAGCAAAAAAAAAATTATTCCAGATAAAATAATAGGAAATTAGTGTTTTCTGTATTAGCATATAGTCAAATGGGTAAAGATCTATTGATTTTCCACCCATGTAATTAAAATTTTATGTTTTTATTACCCAAAATTTTGTTAATTAATTAAGAACATATACAGATTAGAGATATATAGATATATAGATATATAGACATATAGATATGTAGATATTTGTTGGAAGTGGCCAACCTGAGATGAGATCTGAGAAACGAGCAAAAGCAAAAAAGGCGAGATCCATGAACCACCAAACAACCCAACCCCCCTCTTCACCGCGGTCTCCGATTCAGTTGATGCAAGGCGGGACCCATTTCGCACCCACCGACCAATACCATGGCGCCACCTGGCTCATAGGTCTTGTACGAAAAAAAGGCCCTAAACGCGAAGCAGTTCCCGACCTGCACCAAGCGAATTAGAGACCGCCAGTAACTGAATCAACGCCCACAACACAACTTACAAGCCTCCCTCTCAGAGCAAAAGCAAAGCAAAATACGTCTGTTTTGAGGTTGTTTTTTTGTTTTTGTTTTTTATTTTTATAGATGGCTCTTATAATCTAACCCTATGAAGTCTATGACAACAGCTGGGGTGGGTGTTATTTATACCCGCCACAGACCAGTTACGTTGCGACGCGTGGGCTGCCACCGGCTCTTCTGGGCTAACGCCACAGGTAATTGTAACCTGAAAACAGCGGCCCACGCTCAGGAAATTAAGTTTAGTTTGCGCGTCTGGTGTGGTGGGGGTTGGAATGGCCCATGGGATATCGGTTATTTACGGGCGTGCCATCGGAGTTTGGGCTCAGGTCAGCATAACAGTGAATGCACGTGCGCGTGTGATGCTGCTGCAACGTGGTCTGGGAGTGCTGCCAGACTCGCCGATTTGGGATCTAGTGGGCAGATTTTTGTTGACTGTGGTTTCTCGTTTCGGCACTTTTCAGGATGCCCAATCATGTCTGGCCACATCGCCAAAATTGTATGTTTTGATGGTGGGCACTTTTGGAAACTGTGCGGCATGTGGTTAATTCCTCGTATATTTGTACGCGCATAAATTGGTAATGCACTGTGGATTTCGGACTTGAATGACATGCTCTTGCTTTCAATGAAAAATAAATAAATTACACTGTTCTTGGTCAAAGATTTAAAAAAAAACCTTTTTCAAGTAAAAGTAGAAATGCAAAAGGAAAAGTAGAGAGGAAGTTAAATATCTAAAGTGGAGATTTTCAGTGAACTTTCTGTTTGTGGTAGACTCGGAATCAAATTTCGAATTGAAAAACTTGATTTAGGCAATGAATCTCGAGATTGTATATTTATTCACGGCATGTTTGCCCGCGAGGTTTGGAGATGCATTTCTAATTGCCCAATCCCATTGGTTATTATTGTTTCCTTAATTGGTTGCATAGTCTGATTTATGAACCTCTTTTATGGTATGACACGCGAATAGGATTATCTAAAGTCCTTTTCTTATGTTGACAAATATGGAGTTCCATAAATAATCTCCTTCCTAATGAGCTAAGCTTCACAATAGAGGTGTGTGCACGGTGCATGTGTGATGATGTCTAACATGCTCAAAGAAGATTATGATAACTCAAAACAAAGTGAGCTAGGAACAATGTTAGTGATTCTTTCGTCAAACTATGGACGTCAAACTTAGATTTTGGATCGAGATCAAGTTCGAGGAGCGTAGCTCGAAACCATGTTTTTCCACAAAGATTAATTGGAAAATATTCATGACGTCTATTCTTGGTTTGATGACTATCCTAATTGGTTGGAGTATAGCATATACTTTTTAAACAAAAAAAATGGTGATTAAGTATGTGGTGACGTCTTTATTAGTGATGGCTTTTATAATTGGACAAGAAAAAAAAAAAAGATAAACTGCAAATTCATGTGGATGGGGTAACATTCATAACCAAGCGTCACAAAATTGTCCAACTCTAATGAATTAAAGACAACATAATCAAACAATTGTTATTAAGTAATTCAGAACAAGCTCGTGTTGCTCATTGCACATGCTTGAATGCATCATTTGATTGCTTTTGATTATTATTCAGACAATGCCTTGCCTTTCATGGTCATAATGAAACATAAACTTCAAGCAATATGTGTAATTTCTTTATTTGATCTTTCTTAATTTCCTGTTGTTCATAATGACAACGTTAAGACTATTATGTTGGATAATGTCCACGTAATCTAAAGTTAACAACACCAGTAATTCAGAATGGTATTGTAAATACCGCTACCACTGAGATCATTGATGTCATCCTCCGTGATATAAAAGGTTAAATGTTTTCTACTTCGATCAATAAATCACTTATTGTGGTAAAGAATGAGAAAACGAAAATTGTGTTTCGGTATGTGGACTAAAATGCCAAGTAATTGAAAGGTTTGTGGGAATTGAACATGTTACTAGTACCACCTTGGACCTCTAAAAGATATAATTGATGATTTATTTTCTAGACATAAATTGAGCAGATCTACGCTATGAGGACAATGTTATTATAGTACTAATAAGATGCAAGGTGAGCTAAATGGTGTTAAAACACTCATCTTGAGAGAAAATGAATGTGTGTATTTTGTTCATTTTTTTGCACATTAACTTCAATTAGTTTTTATGGTTGTGGCAAAGAATCATATTGAAATTACCTCTTTTTTGAGCGTCATGCAAGTGTTGTGATATAATTTGAGAGAAAAAATCCGAGTCATTGAATCAAAATTATGAACTTCTAAGTGGGCATGGTTAAAGTCAAGAGATTAGTCTCAAACGTGCTAGTGATACTCATTAGCGTTCACATTACTTTACTAACTATGATTTTTATGTTGTAGTTATGGTGCTTGAATTTTTTGTTAAAGATAGAGTAAACTATGATCAAAGTGGTGAAGCAATTAATTTGTTTGAGTTGATGCAATCTTTCCATTTTTTATTTTATGTATTTGTGATTTTAAAAGAAAGTATATTGGTAATCACAGGGTATGTCATAAAATTACAAAGGAAAGATCAAAATATTGTGAATGCTATCAATGAGGAATGGTGATTGGGACATTTTGCTTGATAAAGTTTCTTCCTTTTTTGGCAAGCAATATATTGACGTTCCCAATATGGATGATGTGTTCATAGCTTGAGGAAGCTCACATTGTGTAGAGTAGGGGAAATAACAAACCTTCCTTATTATTATGCTAATCTCTTTTACATGGTCATTGATAAACAACTTCAAGAATTTAATAATCATTTTAATGAGATAAATACCAAGTTATTTCTTCATTGTTATACACACTTTAGATTGTTGGAAACTATGTTTTCTCCCGATCTATCACATGATTTTTATTCACTTAAAGGCTAGGTGTGGTGGGTTTGATGGCTACTTTTTCTCTAGGTGGTGGTAATAGTGTTCATTTAGGGTTATTGGTTGTTTTAGGGTTTTGGTTCTTTTGGGTTATGTGGGCTTCACTTGAGATCATGCTGATGTGGTTAGTGTGTTAGTTTTGTTGCTCATTTAACCTTAATGCTTTGGATGTCACGTTGATGTCTTAGTTGTATTGTTGAAGGTTATCTAATTAAGTTGCTCTTTTTGATATTAAAAAAAAGACAATGAGGTTAATTTCTTCCCGATGAAATTCACAAATATTATGGTGGATGAGACTTGTTACTCATTCTTTTAAGTGAGGAGTCTTGAGTTAATTGAAGTTGAAATAGAATTTTATGGTAGTAAACTTTGAAAAATAGACAATATCAAAACCTAAAAACTAGGGCATGGCAAGGGACAAGCACGGCAAGGGCAAGGACCCCATTTGTCACTCTGTGTGTTCATGGCATTGGTAACGCATGATTGAGTCATGCCATTAGTCAATCGGCTCAGTGGAGATCATACGTCAACAATAGTAATAAAAGTTATTAACAATTATAAATAGTAATTTAAGAGTCATAAAAAATGTATTCATAGTTATAAAAGGTGAATTAATAGTTAGCTGTTAACACATATAAAAGTGTGGTGTCATGAACTATTACTAAAGTAGAAATAAAAAACACCCCTCAATAAATTTCCACAAACAAGGCTCCATGTTATAAGTTGGGTATAGTTGCTACGAACGTTATTACTAGTATTATGGTGTTTTACAACTGTTGTGTTATGTGTTGCTAGTATTGTTATTGTTATGTAAATTTAATTCATTATCATCTTTTATATTTTTTCATTTTTCTTTTTCAAGAACTAGTCAAAAGCCTATTATGTTTAGTTTAAATTAAGACCCATTTGGCAACCGCAGATGGAAGAGAGGAGGAAAGAGAGATAGGGAGTAGGGATGGGCACAATTTTGGTTATGTTTTTCGTTCAATATGACCGAACCGTCTCACCCAATCACAAGAGAGTTGGATTGGCCTAATAATGAGCAGTTCTTGAGCCTAAGAAATCATAAACAACTTTGTATGAATTGGGTTACAAGTTGAGACCAAAACCGACGCAACTCAACTCGTAGACCCCAACCACACTCTAGGTGTGCATAATTTCGGGTCACCTAACTTGATCACAAGAGAATTCAATTAGTTTGAGTTAGCCTAATAATAAGCTAGTCTTAGACCCAACAAATCATAAACTGTCATTTATGAGTTGGGTTAAAAGTTAGGATCGAAACCAACCCAACCGTTCCTACCCCTAATTGAGAGTCTACCTCAAAATCCACTTGATTTGAATATTTTGGGCATGTGCATTGGAGCAGAAGAAAAATATCGTAAGTCTTAACCACTACAAGTATCAGGACCCAATATGAGAAATTGGGTATAAGATGTTATGATGAGCTTAGAAAACTAAGAAAAGGTTGTCCACTCTGGACCTTTTTCCTATATAGGGACCACCCTACGCCTACAAATTAATGCGAGAAGGTTCAACCCTAATAAATAGACTGCTGTATTTCTGCTGTTTACAATGTTGTGTAGTGTAGCTATATTTCTAAAGAAGGAAATAGGCATTACACAAGTTCACTTGCAGATTTAACAGCACAGATTAAGATGGGAAAGTCAGACACGATTCTCCTTTGGGACAACAGTTTGTTTTTTTTTGGTTACAGTTTTGGTAAAGCAGAAAAACTAACCCAAAAAAGAGTCCTTAGCCAGACAGATGCCTCTATGACTAGAGGATAAAAGAAAGCACTGCGTCAGCTCATACCATCAAATTCCAAAATGGATGAGCAAATCAAACTTAGCAGCCTCTATAATCTATATACTTATGTGTGCTTCAGTCCTTTATCCATTCACCTACGTGTGCATCATTCCTGCAATAACGTTATTGATGCGTCCCCTCTTCAATATCTGCCATCCATTGTTATCCACAATTCCGCATTACCCTAATACTCTGATGCAAAATTCCCAAGTCTATCTGAGCCACGTTTTAAGGAACGAGCCGAGCTCAAATCAAACTGGAGCTTTCTCGTAAAAGAACTACGAGTTGCTCACCAGCTTCATGAGCTGAGTAAACTAAAGCTCAAGCTAGTTTACTCAGCTCGGCTTGTTAGTAAACTAAAGCTCAAGCTAGTTTACTCAGCTCGGCTCATTTTTCTAACAAGCCGAACATGAATCAAACTTAAATTGTACAAGCCAACCAATTTACACCCTAGATTTATGCCTCGAACTTGGAACAGACCCTTGATTGTTGGACTTTTTGCCAGGTAAATCCTTAGTTGTTGAATTGTTGAACTTTTCCACATTGTTGTGACATCCTTAGTTGAACTTATCCTTAATTGTTGAACTTTTCTACGTTGTTGTGACGTCGTGGACGACTGTTGCTAGCACAACTGTAGTTACATTTACTTTAAAAGCTTGCATTTACGTCAGAATTTCGAATAGACCTTAAATTAGACCATGCCACATGGCTGTCCCATCGGATTTATCTTCATCGCCTAAGGTTGCCAAAATCACAGTTGGTCAACAGAAATGTGAAAGATACAAGAAAATGCACCAGGAAAAACTGAATAGCAGAACACGCTTTACTGTACAAAGTGTAAACCTTGTATATACAACAAACAAAACTTCATATTTCAGGGTCTATAGTACATGCAGTGTATGAAAACGCCGGGAGACTTAAGCTAGGAAAAAAGAGAAACCAAGCAAGCTCAATGCTCGGTCCACAAAATTTAATGCCACTGGGGCCACCATATGAGCTACCTTCGGCAACGTCGGGTAGGTAAGCGTGCCAAGTATGAACCAGTTGAAGCTTAAGAGAGCAACAGCATCAGAAGCAGGTCTGTTGTTTATGGTGGAGAAAAACTGAACCACACTCTTCAAGGACATACCAACTACGGTGAAGAGAGCAACAACGAGGGGCATGCAAGGGTCTTCAGCTTGCCAAACAATTATTCCAACCAAAAGTGATAACACTGCACTGAAAAGACTCTGTTTGATTGCAATACCCCTTCGCTGGTCCAAAACTTCACTCTTATCTAAATTTCTGAGGTTGATTTCAGGCATAACAGGATGTATAGGCCCACTAGATAATGATTCATTTCTTAAGATTCTGAGCAACTCTGTTTTAGTTTTGCTCTCGTCTCCCCAAGTATCTTTGTGCATCAGAAGGTCTTGGAGGATCATACCGCTTCCATCATAATGGGATTTCCATGACGGGATCCCATATGGAATGCCATAGTCAGCAATGGCTAAGTCCTTGACATTGCCTGTTTCATCTTGACCTTTATTGTTCCAATATCCTTTGCCCTGAATTTCTCTTAGCCGAAGATTTTCAGTTTTCAGATCGTGTAACTGTCAGAGCACATACAAGGGTCAGTATTCGATAGGGGCATAATTATGTCTATGTATAGAAAGACACAATCTAAAGTCCCATTGCAAGAAACCTGAGTGTAACTTCTTCTAGTGTTTTCTTTAAGAACTGAGAAATCATACCCTAATCTGTTACATGATCTTATTTAATGCTGAAGCAAGGATCTTCATTGTTCATGTAGTGTATACAGCATTGTTTTCAATCTCAGTAGTAAAAGCACATGAAGGTTTTTGGTCTCTGTCTGTAGTTTGCATATGGTTAATCATTGAACTTAGGCAATTAGTTTCAGAAGAAATTCATTAAGAAGGATCACTTTTTATAAGAACCAGAAGGGACTGCATGTGTACCCCACCCTTAACACAATCCAGTGATCCAAACCATATTGTTACGTCTTCATGATTTCCCTTTCTGCTCATTTATGGATGAATGTTGAATGGGATCTAAAAATTCGAAAGTTCGGATCAATGGACCACCACTCTGGTTGCATGCAAGAGGATGATAAAATCTTTACCTCGCTTGCTAGCAGTTCAATTTTTGCAATGGCCTTGTCATGCTCCTCTTCAAGTTCTGCTAATATCAACTCCATCATTTTTTGTTCTTTAATGGCTGTTTGTAGATGTTCCTGAAGTTCTTTCCTATCCCATGCCAGATTCTCCAACTCAATTTGCATATCAAGTAAATGCCGTTCCAGCTGCTTGCATAGCAATAATTCTCATACGTCAGGCATACTGTGAGAATGTGTAATATAGGAACTATAATAACAAGATAAAAGATTAAACCGGAAAAAAAAATCTACGAAATTGCAAGTAGGAACAAAAACTAAGAGCCAAACAACTGCAAATAACCATCAAGAAAAGAAAGAACAGGCATAGTAAACAAACAAAAACCATCATCCTGGTCTGCAGCTAGAGCACAAATCTAACCACCCATTATCTTTACATGCTTTATTCCAAATATAATTACCTTACAGAGTCTAACAAGGTGAGATTTAACCTGCATAATGAAGATTTAATTTCGAATAGAACTAACCTTACAGAGTTTTTTAAAGAGACACAAGAAGTGTACGCATGCACTCACACATGCAACCAATTTGACAGCTTTGACAGTTAAATAAATTATTTGCAGTATACAGTTAGTGCTGTATCAGAAGCATACTACAAGGATGGTTACAGTAACTTCTGTACAAAAAAACACAAGGATGAGCATTCTCACCAAGTTTATCCTTCAGTTTCTACATATTGGCCAACTCATGTATATTTATTCTTCCTGCTTGTACATACAACGTACTCAAAATAGCATGCAATTTCCTTCTTTTTCTTCAAAACCCTTCCTTCAACCCTGTTTCCATCTGTTTTACCTCTTTGGTTCATGGGTCCTTAATTGGAATTTAAACCTGAGTTGACATGGGCAACTTAATACTTCTCTCTTTGACCTAAACTTTTGTTACACAAAATGAGTGGACATTCACTAGTTTGAGATTTTAGTAGAAAAATTATGCTCAATCACCCAAGGAATAAAGCAATATATAATAATAAATAGTTAAGAAAGAAAACCGACAAAGAAAGGCAAAAAAAAACATGTGGTTAGAATGCCCATTTTTCTGAATCCCTATATTTGATATTTTTAGTAATAAGTACCAAACAACATGTCAGTCGATACCAAACAACATGTCAGTTGACTCCCTTTAGAAGATATGACATGCTCAATGTGCCATTTTCACCAAATAAAAATTCAGAAATCAGGTTTGTATTCAAAATTGGAGACTAAAAGTTACTGAAAGCAGATGAAACTGACCTGCCTCTCCCTCTCTAAGGCAGTTAAAACTCGCCCAGGCAGAGATATAAGTGCAAATGTCCACATCGTTATTCTCCAGAATAGGATCACATGGAAGCAGACTGATGCCTTCATCAACTCTATGCATGTATGAACGATAATAAAAGTAGTTTTTATGCCAAACAAACATAACAGCTTGAAAAGTGAAAAAGGCCTAGTCACTAAGATTATTATGTTAGTTGGTAATTCAGAAACCAATGCCATCACATCCATGGGTATCAGTGCCTTTTCTGATCAACTATCTGTCCACAAGTTGCAAGACATTCTGTAGCCTTCATTTGAGTTCCTGATATCCTGCATAATCAATAAATCCTTCAAAAAGAACAGAAAAGGAAACAAGAGAACAAAATAAAATGATAAAAAAAGAATATGCTAGATGGCCATCATGCAAGAAAAATGTAAAGTGCAGGCAGTAATTTCCCTGATAGTTTTTGACAAACCACACAATTAAAAACTTCTCCAGCCCGATTATTCTAATGTAAGTCAGAAACTTAACACCAAAGTACAAAAAGAGACAAAGCACGTAAACTTTGATTAGTAGTTCTTATTCGAGCTTTGTCTTAAAATTTTAACATCACACTAAATGAAATTCAAAGTAAACAAGTATGAAAGCAAAATATCATCTAGTTTCCAGTACCAGAAATTAGCATCTTTCAAGTGTTTCATATACCTTTCTAATTTTCACTATCTGGGGGTGTGGTAAATGACCAATAGAGGTTGATGCAAAAGATTTTCATTTTAACAACTTCGGCAATACTTTAACATCACTAGATGAAAATGATACCTACGGCATTGTGGTCCGATAAAGTTTTTTTTTCACTTCCTATTTTAGAGAGAGAAATGAGAGATGTTGGGGGGTGACTAGATAGCTAAAATTAAAAAACCAAAAAGCATATGATATTGATTTTAGTTTTTATTTTAAAAACTATTTTATGTCCTCTCTCCCTCAGCTTTCACCTCTTTTCTCTAATCTCATCTTCATCTGCCTCCTCTCTCTTTAATTGTAAAAAAGAAAAATAAGACAAGCAGATTATCAGTCAGATCCTAAAAAATTTAGACTTTGGAGAATTTAAATTATGCAAATTTCCATCCTAAAGATAAGAGAATTCTTGTTCATTTATTATCAACTTCACTTCTCATAAAATTTGGTACTTTTCCATTCAAGTTGGTGAAGCGAGATTCTTCCCAGAAAATAATTCAATAGAACGATGAAGTAAGCTAAAGAGGGTTTCAAGGCCAGACCCAATCAACCTATTATGATAACTAAAATAAATTTTAGGAAGAGACAATAAGAGTAAAGAGTGAACAAAACCCAAAAAAATAACCTTAAAAAATATAAAGAAAAAAAAATATGTTCAACCACATCCGAATATGTTAACCGCAACAGACCACAACAAACTCCATCTCTGGACAAAATTTATGAAAAACCCAGAAAACCCACATCTCTTAAATGTCATAGAATCAGGCAAGGAACCATCAAATGCATCCAGTAGGAATTTATTTATTTATTTTGGATAGAAAGAAAAATTAACAAGGACATCATCCAATAGGAAAACTTTAAGAAATAAAGCTAGAGAGAATCGAACCAATAATTTTAAAATGACCAATGCAGATATCCCAGGTATAACCGGAAAACGAAAGCAATATGAGTTAAAGAAGAAAATCAGAAAACTTACAGAGCAGGACAGAGAGACAACGAGTTGAGCTTGAGCCTAGCCAAAACAGAGAGAGAGAGAGAAAAACAAGGATAAGTGCGGGGCTTGTTTGTATCAAAAGCCGTTGCGCAAGTGCATAGGTGGCAGCGGGATGGTGCCCAATGACTGACACGTTCTCCGTGAAAGATATATATTAGGACCATTTATTTGTTTTCTTGCGAAGACATACACTGTATAATTAAATTTGGAAGTGTCCTAAGCATTTGAAGTTTTGCTTTCAAAAGGAAATTGAACGGATCGCAAGCCTAAAATTTTCACTATATAAAAAATACAAATTTATAAATAAACTCAATTTTAGACATGTATTTATAAAAAAAGGCTAGTAATTCAAGTAGTTAAAGAGTATTTATTTTTCGGACATATGAATCTTATTTATATCGCAAGCCTTAGAGTAAAGATCTTCTCAATAGTAACTCAAGTGACTAAAAGCATTTATCTCTAACCTAAAGTCAATTCGATTGTAATTAAATTTTTATGAAATCTTATCAAATGACCAGACTTGACATAAAGATGACCGACACTTAAAAGTTTCCCTTTAAATATGGGTCTCCTAAATAAATCAAGAAACAAATTGGGCTTCATTCTATAAATAACCCAGACCCGAAGCATGTCATTTTCTAATAAACTCATACCATCCATATTTTGGCTGTGATGAAATCAGCCCCGAACACTATTTTATCTTTTTTATATTAAATTGCTGTCTCGAAGCATTTTAATGCAAAAGTATTTGACAGATATACATGTATATGTGTTATAAATGATTTTTTTATATTAATACAAGTGATATTGAGTAAGGAGGGAATCGAGTTCGAATTAGGGTCAGTTTGGCATTGCTGTGCTGTAAAAATAATCACTGTCGAATTTGCTATATGAGAAATCAGCTGTGAAAGAAAGCAGTTTGGCGTTTGGTAAACTTCTTGTTAAAAGTGATTTTGGTATAATAATCAGTTTCTGAGTGTTTGGTAAATTTTTATGTAAAAGTGCTGTGAGCTATGTATAATGACTCAAAAAACATAAAGTTATTATTTAAGATTGCAATACCTAAACTCTGAATGCTATGACCGGAACTCACAAATAGATATAATAACAACTCAAAATTGTTATGACCAATTGAAATTCACATATGGATGTAATAATAACTCAAAATCTTCCCATCATGCTGCTAGTATTCAATGCCTTCCTTGCCTCTTTATCCATGGCCAACACAACAACCAATTGCCAATTAATGTCCAATTCACTTTGACCCCTCATTATCACTTTCCAGATGTGTTATGTGTGCTCATACTGCCTTGTTTTTGTTTTTGTCAATTAATATAGCAGTTTATTGAAACCCAGAAAGAAACAAAATTCACCAAAGCTCCAAAAAAAAAACTAGGAGATACAATTAATATAGCATATATGCACTCCTTTCCATATATTTTAAATAAATTTAGAAATTAAAAGAGTCTAGATTGATGATGTTTTCAATTATCCTCTTTCAAGAAGGTATGATGAGCCCCTTCTTTCCAGATACGATATGTGGCTCATCCATTAGAACCCAGAATGTAGAATGAGTCCCTTTTTTTTTCTTTTCTGTTTTTATAAAATCAATTCATAGCATTCCATTGAAACCCAGAAAGAGAGTAAAGAAAATACACCAGTGATCCAAAAAAACCAATAAATTCATAGCAACCTGCCCCGAGGGTGATGCGGAGTAAAACTTTGTTTGAGAATACAACCTAGAAATGAAGGGAGAAATTTTTATTTTTATTTTTTAAAGATGAGAAACAAACCTTAGATCTAGGTAGCAGGAATCATGGAGACAATTTCAAGAAAAAGGTGTGAAGAGAAGATGAGGAAAAAAAAACCAAGATGAAGAAGAAGAATAACTGAGTACTGATCGTGAGCGAAGAGAAAGGAAGGTTCAGCAAAAGTGAAGAGGACACTAGATGTCATTTGTAAAAGCCTAAGAGGATAATTTGGGCATTTACGAAACATTCATTAAAGAGCACCGTTCCCCAAACCGCTTTCCGCATAAGAGGAAATGAAATCACCCTCCTAGCAGCTTTGTCAAATCGCTGTGGCTGACAGCAATTATTCTTAAAATCATATTATTTTTTCATTTACCAAACAGGGAGGTGGAAGAAAACTTTCCAAGAAAGTGATTTTTGCTCCAAATAAACAATGCCAAACAGGCACTTAGTCGCCAAAAAGGTGGATTCTTATTCAAGTGAGGTTAGGGATTGGTATGTATAAGAAGAGTCCAATACACTTCAATGAAGAATATCCTGATCATATGGACCCCCAAAGTCCTTATGAGGTGTGAATAAGGAAATGTATATGATACTAAGGAAACCCTTTTAATGTCTTTAATAGGTGGATTTAATTAGGGTTTTGTATCAACATAAAAGGAGGTCCCTGCTCTCTTAGTAAGTGTCGTTCAAAATATCTAGTCCCTATTGCTGGTTGAACATAAGGAATCTACAAAGAGTAGACTTTCTTTTGAACTTTTTATCAATGACATCTTTAGGTATGTACTATTGCTATTAATATTTTGTTGTGTTTTGATAGTTTTTCTTGATGATGTGATTCTAAGTGTGTATGCCTAAAGAATTTATGTAATAAGTTTACAGAGATGACTTTCAATTTGTAACATCCTCGACGAAAGGGTATTCGTCTAATTCCCCTAAATATAGTTTATGATCTTCTCAAATGTTCTGCAATTTTCTCAATTCATTTTTACTATATATAGTTATATACCTTGGCAAATGAATGGAGAAAAAATAGGCTCTCAACATGCATGAATTTTTAAGCAGAACTTCAAGTCGCACGCAGTGCCATGATGGACAAAAAAAAGGCCTCTTTTACGGCTAGGAGTGCATATAGAGAGGCTAGTTATATAATTAATAACTTAGTTTGTTTGTAAAGTATCACACTTAGCATATAAACGGTCCTCCTTGGATCAAAATGGTGATTTTTCCTCCGTTTGGATGAAGGAATTGCAAATTCAATGGAATTCTAAAATGACGGAATTTAGATTTCTGTTGTTTCAATTTCTAGCAATTGAAGATTTCAGTGTTTGGATTTATATATGTGGAATTTTGTAAATGACAGAAATTGAAAATTTCAATGTTTGGATAACTCATGTAAATTATAAATGACAAAAATTAAATATTTCGAAAGAACAAAAAAACTGATAACTGACATAGAAGGTATTCCTCGAAGTATAAAATAACATATCGTTTGATGAACTAATAACTCAACTTAAACAAACAAACATAATAGCAAACCAAATCACTCCCCACGTGCAATAAACATCAGCAACTTTTTTTT